ACAAATGGGGCTAGAACTCAGTGGCACTATGACCTTATCTGCCTTAGCAACACTGGTGCTAGGCATTACAGAAGGCTCACCTGATTCTGTTGAGCCATAACCAAGACCAAAACCAGTGCCAATCTGTTGATCAAGTACAATCTTTTCCATGGAAGACTGGGCCTTCTGGTAAGCTTTGTACTTAATCTCGAGAGGCTCTATTTCTCTTATTCTCTTGAGAAGAGAAACATTTTCAGTCTCCAGTTGATCTCTTTCCTTAATTAGAAGATTGATTTTGATCTCAACCTCCTTCTTTAAGTCAAGAATTTCAGCTTTTAACTTACTGTTTTCTTCTGTTACAGAAGAATAAGTGGCTTGTATGGCCTTAAACTCTTCCCAAAATTCTGACATTGAATCAGAATCAAAAGCTAAGCCTACCGAAGAAAAACTAGATTCAGAAGTAGAGGTTACCTCATCATCAGAATGAGCCATGAGGCAAAGGTCTTCTGTCTCAGTATCAAGGCAACAGAAGGCCTCATCAGAATCTGAGTCAGAACTGGATTCTGTTTCTGACAGAGGGTCTTTCTCTAGCTGTTCTGTCACAAGTGCCTTTCTCCTTCTGGAGTTGTCTTCGTACTTCTTCTTTTCTCCATCCTGTCCTTGTTTCTTGGACACCCTTGGATGGGGACAATCAGCCTTGAAGTGACCAGGTTGTCTGCAATTGTAACAGAGAAGCTCACCACTGCTTTCTGTTGTTTTGACCTTCTGGTATGACTTTCTGTTGAAAGATGGACTCCTTCCATCTTTGGGATTCTTCATAAACTTTTTGAATCTCCTGGCAAAGGTAGCCATATATTCGTTAGATAAAAGTACTGAAGGGTCAAAATCATTTACCTTTGATGTGCTGGCAGTGAGGGCTGTAGTGGTCCTCTCTTCTGGTACATCTTCCTTTTCTTCAATCATCTCGAACTCATGAGCTTTGAGATCAGAGATGAGCTTATCAGTGGGATAAGTCTTTACATCCTTGCTGGCTTGGACATCAACCACCTTCATCTTCCATGCTGAGGGCAGTCCCCTCAACACCTTCAGGTTGATCTCTTTGGTGGTGAGTTCCTTGCCAAGCTCAGAGATCTCTCCAGTGAGAGTGAGGAGCCTGTCATACATCTTGGAGATGCTTTCACCAGGGAGAAGTTTGAAGTCATCAAACTTCTTGTTGGCTATAGTCAGTTTGTTGTCCTTCTCTTGCTCATCACCAGCTCCAATGAGCTCAAGAGTATCCCAGATTTCCTTTGCAGTTTTGCACTTCTTTATTCTGTTGAAGTACCTATCATCAATGGACTTGTAGAGGATGTCCTTAGCAATATTGTCCAGGTTGTACTTTCTTCTCTCTTCAGTGGTCCATTCTGACTTGGCTTTACTGATCATCTGGGGTCTGGTGTTGTCAATAGCATGCTCAGGATTGACCTTCTGGAAGCTTGTGAAAGGGCCAATATCAAGAACTTCCCACATCTCATCATGCAGGGCACAGAGATGTGCTTTCATCCGGATCCTCCAGTCATCAAACTTCAGATCTGAGAACATAAGATTCTTGGACAAGGAGTGATCCATTATATCAGATAGAAATGAGGTCAAACAGAAAAACAAGTGGATCTTTGTTCAGCAAATAACCCAAGAGATTATTAGAACAAGGAGGCTCTGATACCACTTGTTGGTCCCGGTTATACTGGATACAGTCTAGAGGGGGGGGGGGGGGGGTGAATAGACTGTATTGGTTTTTAGCTTTTTAAACTAAGTACCAGATTTTACAGAATAGCCTGTTCTGTTGACAGAACAGACTGGCAGCGGATGAGGTTCTGGTAGGGAGTTCTGTTGATTTAGCCTCAGAGAAGCAAAGGCATTAGGCCTTCTGTTAACTCGTAGGACAAGTTCTGCTGAACACAGATACCAAGTCTGAGAAGTTAGACAGTTCTATCTAAGTGCAAATATTAAAGCAGTAAGTAAATGACACCAGGGATTTTTATAGTGGTTCAAGGAACAACTTGTTCCTCTAGTCCACTGTTCCACTAAGCTGTAAAGACTTCCGTTTACAATGCCTTAGCCCTATCACTTAAGAAGCTCTCCACGTCTTCTTCAAGTGTAGATGTCTCCGGGGATGCACTGCCTGGCTTCCTTTAAGACTGGTCCTTTCACTGAGCTTCCTGGAAGTATCACCACTTCACTACTCCAGTTACTTGGACGTCCTTCTTGTAGCAAGAAGAGTTTCTGTTAACACAGGGGTTCCTCCAACTAGCTTCGTTACAAAGGATTTGTATGTGATGAGCTTGAAGAGTTGAAGAACACTTGGAACTTTGCTTGAGTTGGAAAAAGTATTTTTCCAACTTCTGCCTTTTCTTGTAGAAGATGATGAAGTGTTAATCTCAAGGAGGCTTTTTGCTTTTCAGAGTTTGAATTTCTTGTATGAAGAGTTGTAGCAACGTTTAGCAAAAATTGCAAAGTTATTCGGTTGTTCTTCGTAGTGTATCTTTTATACTGAGGTTGTCTTCCCGTTGGAGGAGTAGGAGGACAATTGCATTAAATGAGCGATCAGTTGACTTGACCAGTAGAGCCCGGTAAAGTTGGCGGGTTACTATTTTGGGATAAAGTATTCCTGACATTGCGGCCAATCATCTGCAATTACTCTACGGAGCATGGGGAGCATTAAATGAGCATTTAATGCGCGTACTGTAGCTTTTCCGTTCAATACTCCTAGCCGTTGAAGGAATCTTTCAGTTGATTTCCCGGCTTTGTGGAATTCTTCTAAGTGTCAGACCTTCTGGTGTTTTTAACTGAGAGTTGAACAGAGGAGGTTTGGAGCACTTCTGTTGAGAATATATCCAACAGAGACCCAGAAGGGTTTCTGTCAGAGTAAAGGCTAACAGAGACCCTGAGGTCTCCTGTTCTGGAGCAAGAACCAAAGGTCCTCTGTTTCAATAAAGCCTTACAAGGGTCTTCTGCTCTTGGAGCCCTTCTGCTCAGAAGGTCTTCTGCTCTGAAGGCATTCTGCCAAGTCGATTACACTAAGGACTTTACAAGTGAAAATTCTAATACATTAAGTCTAAATAGGGGTACTCTAAAGTCCTAATTAATCTAGCATCATCAAAATCTAAATACAAATATTCCTTACACATTTCCCCATTTGTAACCAAGTCATAACACGCTGAAAACGCTCCACACTTTATAATATACTTTCTCTCTCTATATTTACTTGCTCTGACTTCTCTCTTATTACTCCCCGTAATAACCCCTCGGATAAGCTACCCCCGGGTACACTATCCATCAATGTAACTTTAGTCAAATTAAAATATAAGTTATTTAAAACAAAATATAAGAAGTAAAACTTTGATTTCAATGTAAATAATGAAAAAAGTAGTTTAATTGTTCAACTATTTTATATAAATGGTGTATATGTTTTGTTTTTAATATCAGGTCTACAAAAATGATTTTTTTATAAAAATTATTTTTCTTTGAATAACATAAGCTTATTGTGTTGTGTAACTCACATTATATTGCGGTGTAACTTGCATTATATAAAATGTAAAACACGTGTAAGCAGGACGTGACTTATGGAGGAAAATTGAAATGTAACTCACACTAATGGATATGTAATCTGAGATAAATGGAAATACAAATCGTTTTAATAAGAATGTAAGTTTATAGATAAAAATGAGAAGCCCATAAATCACAAGATACTCTCAACAGTAGACTTAAACTCCATAGCAACGTAACATACACCCAAAGCTTGAAGAAACATTCATGGATGAAGAACAACAGATTTAATTTATAAAAGTCGTCTCTAATTCGGTGGAGCACTGAATACTAAGCGTAAGGATCCAGGCATCGCAGGTCGTCATCCTGTAGGGGTAGGGGTCTCCATTGGCGGCGCCGTCCGGGCCAAATTGTCATCGAATTGGTTGGTGGCCAAGCTCTGCCGCAGGTTGCCATGGATGCCCATTCCATCTCTATCGCTGCAATGGAGGTAATGAATCATCACTCCACCTTTGTTTCCGGTCAGTTCGTCTTTGAGTTCGCTTTTGATGAGCGCCCCTGTTCATCGTTGCAAACTTAGGTCTTTTTTACAAACAATACAATGTCGTTTCAGGGATCGGTACACCGTGTGCATGATGTAACGGTCCCATGGAATAAATGGCGATAAAAAATCATTTGTTTATTCTTAAATATGGAATTGCAATTTTTAATTGATCTATATGAATAATTGCGATATACATGGTGCTTATATTTTTATTTCTCTCCATTTTAGCATTTGTCCAAAATGGTATATTCTTCATTCATAAAACCTAAATTAGCCTTTGGCAATACGTACTTAAATACTTATTATAAATTAGAGTACAAAATTATGGGAGAATTTGACTTTACATTCCATTCGTGGGTAATATTTGATTTTTCACCTCACTTCTTCACAATTTTTGGGTGGATGAGGTGCACACATTCATGAAAATGGGATGTGAAGTCAATATCACCTAGAACAGCAAGTTAAATTCCAATTTTTTTAAATCCATTTAACAAAAATTTAAGTTGAAATTGATAAATTTCTAATACTCCACATGTGTGTCGTATGAAGCAAAATATGATTTTACATAATGGAAGTGTTTAGCATTTAGCGGTTAGCGGGTAGCGGAATATGTTACTGGGTTGACAATAGCGGATTCAATCAGTGGGTATGACTCGCGGAATAAGTTGGCGAGTTGCAAGAAAATGTTTGGTAATTTAGCCATTTGGCCATAACAATTAGTAAAAAAATAACAATTTCAAAACGTTAACACAAAATTCTCCTATTCCCAACATTTTTATTTCAATAATTCCGTCCAAACATGGGGACCAATCAACTATTTAGCAAATCTGACTTACCACATGTCGAAATACTGAGAGGCAACTTGTATTCTGCACCTCAACTACTTAACTTATACTTTATTATCCCAAAACAGCCGCAATAAATTCGTTTGCAAGCACACAACTCCACCGTACAAGAATTCTATTGTTTCACATTGCATCGAAGTGGGAGCTAATATTAAAATTTGTGATTACATTCTAAAATATCAAGATCATGACTTGACAGTTAATTTTAATGTCAATAGCTTAAATACATAAGCTGTCCTATAATTACAAAACTAGATAATGTTACATTATCTAATCTATTAATTTACACACACTATATGACACTTGGTGGCATTGGCAAAATCCCTTTAGGTCAACATAGACTCCAGCTAGTGTCAAACAGTTGCAAGATTTCATCTTTCTCCACCTTCCCTTTCTTGTTTCTATGGACACTATCTTGATCACTGGGTACATGTAGTCCTCTCTTGTCTTCTTCTTCTTCATAGCTCATGGTTTTAAGATAATTGTCCAGAGGAACGATTCCATGTTTCTTTACTTTAGCATTATTAAAGACTTCACTGTCTCCATCTTTCACCCCTTTAGTTAGAACTTCCTTGTAGCTGCACTTTCCTGATCCATTCATACTAGACATATCTGTACAATCCATTTTAGTACTGTCCGACGGGGATGAACTCTCTGGACTTGATACCATTACCGGTCCCCGTTTGCCTTTTGTGCATTGAAGAGCGGGAAATGGTGAATCATGTGTTTGGAATGACGCATTCTCAGACGCACTAATCTCGGTTTTCTTAGTGCGTCTGACATGGTTACGGTCATTACAACCCATGTCAACGGTTATCTCCTTTTCTTTCGTGTTTTTAGAACCCCAATGAGTGAGAGCTGAAACCAGAAAACTTAGCCATGCTATCAAATGGACTAATGCCCAATCAAGAAATGGCACCCGGTGCATTAGTACTGGGAACTTATTCATTAATGTCGCTTCGAATACTGTCGGAAGGCGGTCGACCACATTGGCGAGTTCGTGAATCTTGTCGAATATAGGTGTTAGTCGAGGAAAAGCCGTTTCGGTTATCGTCTCGGATTTCAGGATACATTCATCTGCTATATACAAGAGAATTGATAGCCATTGGATTTGGAATCCATATTTAAAGGGAAGTGCACAAGTTGATAAAGATATAATTTTCTTTGACAGTGGTCCTATTGGCGCCTTCAGCTCTTGCATTCTTTTGCAGATAATTTGAGCTATTGCTAAGAATGAAGTTCCACATGTTCGTAATAGACGACACCTTGACATTTTTTCCTCCAAAGTCCAAAGTTGATGTTTAAATGTTTTATGCAATCAATATAATCATCAACCTGTTCATGATAATTGTAAGTGTAAATTCAAGGTTCATGAAAGTAAGTGAATAAATGCAGGCAAAAAATGCAAAAATATATTATTAATACTTGGATTCTATTGTAAAATACCAACCTAGCTAGATAGAAAAAGAAATCAAAATTCTTTTTTATGAATGGGAATTAGAGTTTGCACTGCTTTTTCATCCAAATTTTAGTTTATGACACATTTTTGAAACCATTTGCACCAAAACAAAAAAAAAACTACTCCATCCGTTCCACAATTACATTCCCAGATTGACCTTTTCAATAATTTGAATCTAAATATCTCACAACATATACTTATAACATCTATAATAAATTAAAATTTAAATCATATATAGTGCAATAAAATATATGAAATTGATATTGTGTGATAAAGTAATGTAAATTTTGAAAAATTAATGGTCAAAATTATGAAATTTGACTCATAAAGTCAAATTGGGAATTTAATTGCAGGACGGGGGTAGTATTAAAATTGGGATGCAAACTCCAACTTCAAAGAATAAAATTGTGAACTATAACATTTTGGGGGTGCAACTACATTGATTTTAGAAATGAGGTAAAAACTCAAAATTGGAAGAAAAATGGGAGTGCAAACACTAATTCTTAGGAAGCAAGAGGAACGCTGTTGTCATATGATGAAAAGAAAAAAATGTGAGGGAGGAATATGCTTAATACCTTTGGAAATCCTTTTCTTCTAAAGGGGATGAGAGAGTTGTGGTTTGTCCATTTTATACGCGCAAGTTGTAGAAATGCATACTATTTCTATCCAGAAAGAATTGAATGGTGAAACTTAGCAAGTCAAACCTATACCTCTCTTTTAAAGAATGGTAATTATGAATTTTGAGTATGATCCCAAAATTGTTGTTTCAGATTGTGGAATGGGACATAATGGGGGTGTTAGGTAGGGGTGTGCATAAACCGGTCCAGACTGTATTTTGGACCTGAACCGGACCGGAATGGACCGGTCCGGGGTATACAGGTCCGGTCTCCGGTCCATTGAAAATTGAGATTCCGGGTTCCGGTCCGGTCCGAGTCAAACCCGAAAAAAAGCAGGTCCGGACCGATAACCCGGTTATTACTATTATTTTATCCATATTAGTGTAACAATGTTAATTGGGTTTGGGGCGGCGTAGCCCAATAGGAATAATTGTAAAGTTGTACACTTGTACCGGTTGGACTTTTCATATTTCTGAGGTGGAGAACCTAATATACTCGCATCCTCTTACCGTCGTACCTCTTTCAAGTTTCAAAGGTTCTGTTGCAGCTCGGCCATATCCAATTCTTCTCAAGCTTATACTATTCTACTACTATGAATCCGTGAGCCTGTGAGACCTCTCCCTGCTTTTTATTTTTTTTGGACGAACCTGTAAATATATATCATCCGAAAAATAACATGTACACATGCGTCCAAAACTATAAGGCAACCTACCAACAAGGTTGATCACCATCTAATCAGGCAAGACACACCCAATAAAGGGTCGGTCCAAAAAACAACCAAGACAAAAAAGCCATAAGAGGGTGTTGCAAGATGCACACACCAAAAGTTCAAAAGAACATACACTAACTGTGGCTAAAGAAATAAAAAAGTGATCAAATCATAAGGGTAGATGTTGTAGAGGATCTTGTAAACCACGTGCTTGATCTTTGCTACCACATCGTCTTCAGTCTTCGTAATATCATCAAAGCGATAGGCATTCCTAGTATGCCAAACCCAATAAATCGTCGCACAAAAAGCCAAGCGAACTGCTTTTGATTTGATGAGTGCACCTTCATGGTCTTTCCTAATCCACTTGATTGCTTTCTCCAAGGTGGTCATCTGTTTTGTAATCCCAATCCAGTCCCTTATCTTCGTCCAAATACTGCACACAAAAGAACAAACAAAGAAAAGGTGTGGTGTAGTTTCTAAACTACCCTTACAAAGGTCACACCAGTTAACCATATTAAGATAGGAAAGATTATCTTGAGTTGGTAACCGATTCCGGAAAGCAAGCCAAACGTTGAAAGAGAATTTAGGGGGAATGTACCCCTTCCAAATAAAAGGCATCCAAGGTCTAGCCGTCCCCTTAGTGCGTAGTAAATCATAAACCTTTGCCGAGATGAGTTTGTCGTTGTTACACATATTGTTCAAAGTCATAACAGCCTCGTTGGTGTTGTGGAATTTCTGGGAGATCCTATTACGAATAAGGCAAAGCTTCTTCATAAGCTGGGAGTCCCGGTTGTGTGGGGAAAAATCCCACACACTTTTTCCTTTAAGATAAACGCCATTAACCCATCGGACCCAAAGGGTGTCTTCTTTTTTGTGAATATTCCAAAGAGTACGCGCAAGAAGAGCCTCATTCCAGACTTTAGCACAATGAATTCCAAGGCCACCCTCATTCTTTGGGAGGCAAATGTCATCCCATGACACTTTTGCATACTTACCACCCCAAACAAAAATCCTACAAATAGACACGATCCTGTCCAAAATAGCTTGGGGAACCGGGAAAACCTGAAGCCAAAAAGATTGTAAGCCTTGTACAACCGATCGAATGAGTTCGAGCTTACAGGCATAAGATATAGATTTTGCATTCCAAGCGTTCAAGAAGTCCATTATAGTATCCAATAGTGGAGAGTATTGGGCAACAGAAACCCGAAGAGGTGCAAACGGTATACCCAAGTACTTGACGGGGAAGGTCCATCGTCCAAAATCAACCAAGTCGAGGATATTTGAAATATCATAGTCTGAAACACCACCAATAAAAATGCTAGATTTACCATGGTTAATTTTGAGGTCGGAAGTGTCCCCAAATTCTTCAAGAGCTTTCACCAAGATATTGATAGAATGAACATCGCCCCTTGAGAATAGCATAAGATAGTCGACATATGTCAAATGTGTAATAGACAGAGAGGAACAAAGGGGTGGTAATTAAACCCCGAAACCTTCGTTTTCATCTTCACCAAGCATGAAAAATATTCAAGACAAAGGACAAATAAAAGGGGGGCATCGGATCCTCTTGTCGGATACCCGAAGAGGGGAGAGTATTGGGCAACAGAAACCCGAAGAGGGGCAAACGGTATACCCAAGTACTTGACGGGGAAGGTCCCTCTTGCCGTTAAAGAAGTCCATTATTCAAGACAATAGTGGAGAGTATTGGGCAACAGAAACCCGAAGAGGGGCAAACGGTATACCCAAGTACTTGACGGGGAAGGTCCCTCGTCCAAAATCAACCAAGTCGAGGATATTTGAAATATCATAGTCTGAAACACCACCAATAAAAATGCTAGATTTACCATGGTTAATTTTGAGGCCGGAAGTGTCCCCAAATTCTTCAAGAGCTTTCACCAAGATATTGATAGAATGAACATCGCCCCTTGAGAATAGCATAAGATAGTCGGCATATGTCAAATGTGTAATAGACAGAGAGGAACAAAGGGGGTGGTAATTAAACCCCGAAACCTTCGTTTTCATCTTCACCAAGCATGAAAAATATTCAAGACAAAGGACAAATAAAAGGGGGGCCGTATTCCTTTTGACGATGGCATGAAAATACTTGGAGCTCTTATCCGCTTCCAAAATATGAGTGGGCTTTGCTTTTTGTTGATAGAAGCTAGTTTCGACTTCTTTCAATAAAATGGATCTCTTCTTAGCAAGCATAAGATCATTAGTGACCTCCTCATCCAAAGGGGAAGTTAAGGACAGTTTAAGGAGTCTTTTATACTCCTCCTTAGCTTCCTTCGCCTTCCTAGAAATATGGCCGAAGTCTTATTTGTTAAGCTATTTGAGGGGCCCTTTAAGGAGCTTTAACTTCCTACACAAAGAAAATTGTGCCGTGCCCCCAATATGTTGATTCCAAAACTACGCCAAAATGTTCGAAAAATCATGGTGTTTAAGCCACATATTAAAAAATTGAAAAGGCTTAGCTCGCTTTGAAGACTCTTGGAGCATGGTCACAACGGCGGCCGTATGATCAAATTCCGCATCCATCTCACAAAAGTGAGCCTTGCAATCAACATTCTTTTGAGCCCAAAACGAATTTAGAAGGACCCTGTCAAGCTTTGCCCATAGCGTTCCTTTGTTCCATGTAAAAAACTCCCCGGTAGAGGGTGCATCACAAACACCGACGTAAGCTTTAAAGTCAATAACATACTTCATGAAATAAGCATTAGGGGGGGTGAACCCACCCTTTCTGTGGGAGAGGAAACACAATTAAAATCGCCAATCACCATCCAAGGATCGGTGATAAGACTCCCAACCTGTGCAAGATGCTCAAAAAGCCCCCTACGCTCAACAATATGTAAAGAGCATAATCGAAAGTGATAAAGGACAGGGATTGGGTGGTTTTACAGATACACTTACAGTGGATATGTTGTTTCACCACCTCAATAACCACACAATCAATAAAATTCGGGTTCCAAATGATCCCCATCCGACCACCGGTGATATGGTCAAAGTTTGTAATAGACAACCACTCGGGCCATCTATTATTTACCATGTTCCCAAAACTGATGGTGGACATCTTTGTCTCAAGTAAACAAGCAATCGAAATATTATTAGTATGCATAATATTAAATACGGAATTTTGTTTTGAGATCTTACCGAGCCCTCTCACATTCCAAGTAAGCACACACATAAATCAAGTGAGATGAAGGTCTCGGAGGTGTTGCCTGTGTCATTAGGCGCCTTCTTCTTCTTCAACACTTCACCAATTGGCTCTTTTTCCTTCCTAGCGAGGAACTTCAAGTTGTGCCTAGCATTTATATAAAAAAAAACTAGCAATTTAGGAATAAAAATCAGTTTATTAATGGCATACCATTGTTTTGAGCGCACACCACCGGGGAGAGAGACATGACAAGGATCCACAAAGTTAATTCCCGGGACATCCGAATCTGATTCTTTCCGAAAATCCATTCCAATTCGAACAACCTTTAGGTAGCTTTTTAGTTGATGCTTTTTCTTGACGTATGCCACAAAGTTAATTCCCGGGACATCCGGATCCGGTTCTTTCCGGAAATCATTCCAATTCGAACAACCTTTAGGTAGCTTTCTAGTTGATGCTTTTTCTTGACGTATGCCACCTGTACGCCCTCCTCACCGGGTTCAAAATTAGTGACAATATCATCCGGCTCCATTTCATGGACGCTAAGGAGTCTTCTTCCTTCCCATTCCTACTCACTTTCTGTGTTATATTTTTGAACCGGGAACTTCTTCTTGTGGTCAATCAGTTTTCCATTATTCTTTTGGAGCAAAGGAAAAACCGGCATAATTATGTCTTTTTCCCCAGCCACCACTTCCAGATTCGCACTCCCTTTCTTCTTCGTAAGCATATGCCGAGGTGGAGGGAGGTTATGAGAGACAGGTTCGTCATCACTTGAGCCCTCCTTTTCTTTATTAGAAATATGCCCACCACTAGTAGCATTGGCATTGTTTTTGCCATGTTGGGTATTATCCACTTCTTTTCCTTTAGGGTTTGGCTTGCGGTTCCTCTTACGTTTCACCACTTGGAACTCCTCTTCCATGGTTCTGGGCTCCATACCATCCTTTTTTTCTTAATCTCCAGTGCCTTATCAATGGCCTTTGTCTCAACAACATTAAGCTTAGGACAAGTGAAAGCATGATGGCCATAAGTAGTGCAATTGTAGCAATAATCGGGAAAGGTCTTATAAAAACATGTTGTTTATGCATTCTCCCATTCGGCATACGAATCATGAACTCAAGAATAGGTTCTTTTGTAGCATCAACTTCAATCAAAACACGAGCAAATTGGTCTCTCTCGCCTTGTTGGTTAATTTTATCCGTGGTGATTGGAATACCCACTTTTGAAGCTACTTCACTAATAGCTTCTTCATTCCAAAGGCCCAAAAAAAGATTAACTAGTTCTGGAAAAACAGCAAAGGAAGAAGAAGGTGAACAGTAAACACGAACCTAAGAACTGCTCCACCCGTCAGCTGGGTATAGTGACCTCTGTTGGTGCCTTTGCCTCGAAGCCATAACAAAGGGCAAAGGGTGTTTCGCCCGTCGCCCTCCTCGGCGTAGTACGGTAGCACCACGGAATGTTGGGGAGCTCATCGGCCCAGCTGCCTCCTGCGTCCTCGAGCTTCTTCTTCAGGCCCTCCAGAATGGTTCTGTTGGCGTTCTCAACTTGCCCGTTACGTTGAGGATAGGCAACGGAGGAGAAACGGTGCTTGATTCCCCACTCCTGGAGGAGCTCTTGGAAGGGTGCGGCCTCAAACTGGGTGCCGTTGTCGGATATTATCTCTTTGGGGACGCCGAAGCGGGTAAGGATATTCTTGTGGACGAACCTCTGGCATCTGACTCCTGTAATGCTGGCCAAAGGTGCCGCTTCGACCCATTTTGTGAAGTAGTCCACGGCGACGATGATGTAGCGGTCGTTGCCAGCGGCTCTGGGCAAAGGGCCGACCAGGTCGATTCCCCATCTTGAGAATGGGATTGCAGTGCTGACCGGGGCGTAGTTGACGGCTGGCCGACCAGGGGCCTTCTGAAGCGCCTGACATGCAGTACACTTCCTTGCAAGATTGGCACAATCCCGCGCCATCATCGGCCAGAAATAGCCCTGGACGAAGAGACGCCGGGACATGCTGAAAGGGCCCTGATATGAGGAGCAGACGCCGCAGTGGACTTCCTCCATGGCCACTTCAGCCTCATCTGGGTGCAAGCATCGGAGGAGAGTGTCGTTGTAAGATCTTTTGTAAAGTTTCCCATCCTCGATGGTGTAGCTTGGGGCCCTGAGTTTGGTTAGCTTGGCTCTTTCCTCGTTCCCAATCCGTCCCCCAGCCGGCACGTGAAGGTTGTGATGTCGGTGATCCAGTCCTCCGGCCGATGTTGGATGCACATGACCGGGCTGGCATGGATGCTGGACATGCTCAGCTCCTCGACCTTGGCTATTTTGGAGATGTGCTCTGGAGTGTCTGTGCTGAGCTTGGAGAGGATGTCAGCCTCAACATTCTCCGCCCTTCGGATCTGGGTGATCTCATGGGTTTCAAATTCCTTGAGCAGCTCCTCGGCCGCCTGCTTGTACTGTCTCATCCTCCCCTCCTTGGCCTCGTATGAGCCCTCGATCTGGCCCACGACTAAATTGGAATCACACTTGATTTTGATGTGTCGTGCTTTGAGGCCGGCGGCGAGTCTAAGGCCGCTGAGGAGGGCCTCATATTCGGTTTCGTTGTTGGATACCCTGATGTTGAAGCGGATGGCATAATAGGCTTTGAATCCTTCAGGGGAGATGAGGACGACGCTGCCCCCACATGCTTTGGCGGCCGATGAACCGTCAGTGAAGAGAGTCCATGCTTCGTCTGGCTCTGACCCGGGTGTGGTAGCGGCCGTCTCCCTGGCTGTGCACTCGGTGACGAAATCAGCCAAGGCCTGTCCCTTGATGGATGACCTCGACTTAATTTTGATCTGGAATTGGCTGAGGAAGATCGCCCATTTCACCATTCATGAGGAACTGGTGGGGCTCTGCATGAGTGCGCCGAGGGGTTGCTGAGTTAAGACGTGGACGACATGGGTCTGGAAGTAGTGCCCTAGCTTTTTCACTGTATGGATGATGGCCAGTACCGTCTTCTCAATGGGGGAGTACCTGAGTTCGGCCTCCCGTAACGTCTTGCTTACGTAGAAAATTGTCTTCTGTACCCCTTCATCCTTGCGGATGAGCACAGAGCTGATGGACGACGTGCTCACCCCCAAGTACAAAAAGAGGGTTTCACCGGCTTTGGGTTTAGAAAGCACAGGGGGACGTACAAATTGAAGACGACAACAGACCGGCTAGTAGAGTGACGACACTAGAGTCATTGTGTGCTTAAAAAAAATTCAATACTTGCACTAATACGTAGTATAGTGTCGTATCCACGGGGAAAGGAATATAGTATCATTCTTTCAATTAATTTAACACTAAGATGAACGACTTATGTGGTTTTATAAAATAGAGATTGAGACTTGGTTTCGCTTTTTTCTACTTAATGAAATTTTCATCGATCCCGATTATATCTTTAACTATCTTCCTCTCGAATACTCAATCATGGAGTATCTCCAATTCATCAAGGGTAGTTATTAATAACGAAACGTGTTCCTCAATAAAACTTACTATCAAGTGAATATAGAACATGTGCCATATATTGACCCGATAGTAGCAATAAAACGTAAGATGAAATCGATTGAGATTGATAACCTCAACACAAGTGGTTTGTTGGTTTAATCAATACTACCTCCGTCCCTTAAAACTTTGCCAAAGTTGACCGGCACGGAGAATAATAAAGTAAAAACTGTGTGGTTGAGATTTGTGCAGAGGAGAGAGAAAAAACAGAAACCACAAAATAATTGATTAAAAGGGAAAGTGACAAAGTTTTTTGGGACGTCCCAAAAAGGAAAAATGACAAAGCTGTAAGGGACGGAGGGAGTATAATTAATTCACCTTTGATTATTAACCATGAGACACATGTATTAATAATCCAAGTTTACTACCATGAAAGGAGCGAACGATTAACAAGCGTATTCGTCGATCGATTCTAGTAATAATTAATATATGAAACAAAACTAGTTGATCCTTTAAGTAATGCTCAAATATTAATATGGAATATGAATACGAATGTAATTAATATTCAAGGAAGATGATTAAAGAAAATAACTCACAACTTACAAATCAATAAGCTTTAATGTAGCAAAATCAAGATGGAAGGGTTTAGCTCCTCATTTGAAGACTAAACATACTAGAAATTATAAAGAAAATACTTAACTAAGCTGAGCTTAAGAGTATATGTGAATTGATGATTTTATTGGGAAGGAAAATGGGTGTATTTATAGGTGTTTAGAAGTGGCATGGCTTGGTACCCGACCGGGTATATAGAATACCCGATCGGGTATTTGAGGTAGTTTCCCGGAAAGTCACTTTTCCGAACATACCCGATCGGGTATGAGCCATACACCCGAATCAACTCAATACCCGATCGTGTATTGCCTAGAACCAAACGGGTATATGAAAAATTTTCCTAATCTTATTTTTGTCTTGTCCCTTTGCACTTTTCTTGATCTTTTAGAGTCCAATCTTGATCGTTTGAATGATCTTGACGCCTTTTAAGCTCAAAATAAACATAATCTAAACAAATTACATCCATCTAGGAAAATAAATTAATTACACCAAAAATGTGTAATTTCCGCGATAACCAACAATGAAACTAATTAACAGTGCAATATAATACATAATAAAAATACAATAATATGAACTCCTCCATGCTTAGTTTCTTTACTCATCCTCCAGTAAAGTCACTGTATCTCCAACAGTTTAAACAAACATGAACAAGCAAAAGACAACCAAGTAATGTTTATAGAATGTGTTTTACAAAGTGAAATATTTTCACTTATGCACTACACACTTCATGATCTTGGGTTTACTTGTCTTCTATGTTTCTCATGGTCCTCTTGTTCATTGTATCGCCAAATCCATCTTAAAACAATTTCTGCCATTTCTCTCATTTTGCTTAGAAGTCTTTTCATTTTTTTCCTAGCCTCTCATTTCTTTTTTTTTTTGCTTAGACTCACTCATCATTTTTTTGCCAATATTGCTTAGGTTTCCCATTCGAGTTTTCAACCTAACTGATATTTCTTCTTTTTATTAATTCTTTCTTTTTTTGTTTTTATATAATTTTTGTTTTTTGGTTTTTTTAAAAAGAAATGTAGAATAAATACCGTATATACAATGAAGAGTCTTCTCCTCCTTGCTAAACCGAGCATTGTCCCTAGTGCTCGCCATTCCCATTGCTTGGAGTTTTGTTTTGAAATTCTAGAGGTGGGGTGAGATGTTTCAAGAATTTTGAGAGGATTTGAGATTGGAGGGAAGTGAAAAGATGAAAGTCTTGGGATTTTTTGGATTAATTTGGTTCAAAAGGTAGGGTGAATTTGAAGAAGAAAAGCTGTGTAGCTTTGGTGGTTTTGGGGGTTTTAGAGCTTGGGGTGTGAAGAAAAAGAAGAATAGGGTGCCTTTTCTCACCACTTAAAAAAATCAAAGAAAAATATGAAACTACTCACATGTCATGGGTTACCTCCCAAGCAGTGTCGTATTTATTGTCGTGGCTCGACTCATCATCTCAATTTCAGTCTTTCATGTTCGGGGCGTGATGACCCATCTTCTTCACACTTCTAGCTCGGTGACGATTATAGAAGGGCTCAATTCGCCGACCACCCACTTTGACAATCTTTTCATGATCAAATATCCGGATTTGCATTGCTTTATGTTGTGAGAGTGAGGGAAAAAATTGTAGAAATTTGCTGCACATTGTGAATGAAAAGAAATCCGAATGATACTCTCCCGGTTTATTTCCAGCCGCCACAAGTACATTTGAATTACCCTCACATTTGCTGAAAATTTCACATATTTTATTGTACTATTCAATATTTTGAGTTTCCCTCAAAGCTTCAAGAAATGGTGGGGATACCCTTCTTCTTCATCTTCTTCTGGATTTTGGGTCACCTTTTGCAATTCCTTCTCATTCGTCAATGTGATTTCAAAAGCTTGCTGTTTAGAATCATGATCTATTTGAGAGAAAATTATTCCAACATATTTTGCTTTCAATCGACTCACAACACATGGTATTTGATTCATTTGATTCTCCAAATTTTGTTCGCTTGACCTTTTTTCTTATTTGTCAAGTTGACAGTGAGAGCCCGGACCATGTTTCAGTGGACATGCTAGAATGAGAACTCAAGCATGTACGGTCTCTCCTTAATGGCTCATGGTGCACAGTCCACCACAAGCGTCGTCGCCCCAGAGACCAACGCATCCTGCAGAATTCGAAGGTCAGCAACCACTCCTTCGTTAGGTACAACTGTTTTAACCCTTTAGATTTGGAAGAAAACTCAAATTTTAATCAAGAACGGAGAGATCCCTATTGCACAAACCTCAGGGCAGATAGATATCGCCGACCCAAATGAGAAAAAAAGCGACGGGTAGGCATGACCATCATCGTAGAACCAAAAATCGACCCCAATTTATGACCGGCGATTTTGAGTTGCGAAGCACAGCAGGCCCATCGCCAGACAGCTTGGCTGAGACACCAGCTGACACGAACGTTGTGGTTACTCTGGCAACCAACGGACAGCTTCAGTCTGGAGGCACATGGGCTGACCTCCTGCGCGTTGACAAAAACAAAATGAGCTCTGGATCTCTTCTCAGCAACAAGGACCGAGCTGCTATTTCAGCCACAGGTTCAAAGGCCCTGCCTGGTGAGACCTGTACAAATAATCTCAAGAACCATTATTCAAATTCCGCTTCTAGGATAATACAGATGGAGACAGCTTTAACCACTAACTTAGATAGTGAAAATTTTTCATTCTTCGTAGAGGAAGGTTTTGATTCGGTCAAAATTGAATCAAAATTATTCAAATTTGCGGTTAGAAAAAAGGAGATGTAGTCCTTTTTGAAATAAAAAAATCTGTGATGCACAAGATTCATTTCAAAATTGATCTTGCTTCTCAAAACATCCGGTTCATCTCCCAGTTCAAACACTCTAAGTCCAACCTTACACAGATAAGGCGATTTGGAGATATCAAGATTTCTTTGGATATTACGTGAAAATGGCTAAAGACAGGGGCACCTCCATTCATATTCCTGTGGGACCGTAAAAATACGACATGTTTAAATTCCTCATAATTTTTTCTAATTTTGTAGGGTTACTATAGAGATCGAGGATCCTATATCAATCTCTAAACTGATTCTCAACTCTTAAGTCCAGTCAGTAAGTCCCGACAAACAACAAGTCTACTATCCAGGGATACCACTCGAGTTGACACTGACCCAAGCCTACTCAGACGCGTCAGACAGCTTCTATCATAGTGATGACTCTTTCTTCTCAAATGACTTTTTAGGTCATGCAACCGAAAGTGATTGTCGTCCTCCTATTTCAAACCAGAAAGAAATAAGGATCTCCAAATTCAACAAAGCAATTTGTTACAAATCTGAGCTCATTACCACGAAAAATTGCATACCAACGGACAATTTAAACACACAACTCAAAATTTACAGGAAATCTCAGAAAAATAAAAGGCGCCACAACATGAGGACTAGGCCTCAGTCTACAGATTTCTCTTGGGTTTAGCTTGTTTTTTCTTCTTCTTTTATTTTTCTTTTATTGTACTGCATTTTTTTTCTATTTCATCTCTTGCATTGTATTGCTTACTATTTTACTTTTATTAATAAAATACATTTTCTGTTCAAAACAAATGAATCATACCTCCTTTGAGGTATTTGTCCTTAGAAACCAACATGATTGCTTTGTTTAAAGTATTCTTCTTGGAATTTCGGGCAAAAATCCGTAAGGTGTCTGGGAGACATGCAAATGTTGCAGGCTTTGGGATCTTGAGATTTTGAACATAAGATAAACTCTTTTATTAGAGAAGCCAAGTCGAAAATTTGACTCTCTAGAGATGATGTGTTGGTATCCATGTTAACAACTTCTAAGGATTGAGTAACTTGAAGTGGTGTGTACTCCAAAGTGAAACACCTTCAATCTAGGCCAGTTTGTTGTAAAGCCTAGATTAGCACTAAGTGTATTGGGCTTAATACTTTAGTGGAAATCAATCTGAAAGATGGTGGAACCGGACGTAGGAGGATTACACCACCTCTGAACCAGGATACATAGTGTGTTGATTTACTTACAGTCAACAAAGCACACACCAAACACTTAGAGTAACAAAGCAAGTTGTCAGCAGTAACCTAAGCAGTTGTCTTACATTACCCCACTGCTCAGCCCACTGCCCATATACATACTTTCTTTAAAACATCTCAACATCACAAAATCCTCATAACATCATTACAAAGAAGTTTGTTCAAACAGATTTCTAAGAATCAGCCTGTAACTCAGTAGGTGCCTCAGCAATTCCCTGGTGACCACCCAACTGCCCAGACCACAGCTCTCATAAATTTTCACTACAACTCAGCTTAGCACATTTCCAGAAAGCTCTCATCATTCTAAGTAAGATTATACAATCAGCTTTCTCATACTTTCAGTTTTCTTTAAGCAGTTGACTCAGCAGTTCCCTGCAGTCCACTCAACTGCCCAGTCAACTGCTCACTCAAATACGACCAAACTCCACTCAAACACAGAAAGTTATTATACACTGTTTATTTAGAGGTTAAGATTTTCGCTGTGCATCTATAATCTCCCAAAAGATTATAGATCATCATATCTAGCAGGGAAAAATTTTTAAAGTTGAAAAAGCTTTAAAAGTCTATTCACCCCTCTCTAGACTTTTACCTCTATCCGGGACCATCAAGTGGTATCAGAGCCGAGTGTTGCTAGAGTCAATTTATGACTAATTTGAACTAAAGATCCATATCCACTCTACTTCCCAAAGACTTTCTAAAAATGGGCAGTCAGCTTGTCAAGAATCTCTTGTTCATTTTAAACAAGTTGGATGACTGGAAAATTAGAATGAAAGCACATCTCAGTGCTCTAAATGACGAAATGTTTGAAGTGATTACTGTTGCCCTATCAAAATAATGAAGGTTACCACATCTAGGCAAATGGATGCTCAAGAAGATGTGTACATTCCAAAATCCAAATTGGAATGGACAACTGAAGACAGGAAGAGAAACAATCTTGACAACATTGCCAAAGATATTCTCTTCAAATCTGTAGATGAATCAATATTTCCTAGAATAAGGAAATGTGAAACTGCCAAGGATGTCTGGGATGAGCTAACAAATATAGGAGCAGGAGATGAGCAAGAAAAGGATAATAAGCTTACCATTGCCCTAAAAAAGTTTGAGGACTTCAGAATGTTGCCTAGTGAATCAATCCATGAGATGGGGTCTAGATTGCTGAAGATTGTGGCAGAGGTCTCCGACCTAGGGAAAGATCTATCTCAAAAGGAGATCTCCCTCAAGATCTTGAGAGGTCTGCCCTAAAAGTGAGATATGAAGGTTACTGCTATGTGAGATAACAGAGATCTCAGAAGTCTTTCAACTGATAAACTTTTCAGTGATCTTAAAGCCTATGAGTTTGAGATGAAAGAAATCAAGGATGAAAAGGAAGAAGAATCCAAGACACTAGCTCTAGTGTCTGAACCAAGCACATCAAAATCTACTGAGAAATCCCCCTCCTCACTGATGAACAATTTGCAATGTTTGTGAGGAAGTTCAAAAAGTTTATGAAGAAGGAAGCACCTGCCCCAAAGAAGCTATACAATCTGCCCCCAGAAGACAAGGGAAACCTCAATCCAGTGAGGATATTGTCCTATGCTACAACTGTAGACAACCAGGACACTACAAAAATGAGTGCCCTCTTCCATTGGCACACAAATATCAAAGGCAGCAGACAACTGCTCAAAAAGCTAGATATAAGAAGGAATTCAAAGGTAAACGTCAGGCCTTTGTTAGTGAAAAGAAGGAGGACTCCCATAGTGATGAAGAAAGCAGCTCAAGTGAAGAAAGCTCTTCATCTGAAAGCTCAGAAGCACTACTCTGCCTTGGAGCTTGGCAGGTTACTGAAAAGGACAGTAGCCAGCTCCAAGAGCCTACCACCAATGAAAGGCAAACTGATGAAGGAAGCTGCTCACTTAGATGCTTTATGGAAGATGACCACTCCAATGATATTGAGGTAACATCCCGCTCTTCCTATAGCTCTAGTGATTCTGGACCAACCAACATTACACTGGAATCTTTACTACAAGACTTCCAAAAGGTCCAAAATCACCATGTTCTCTTGAGATCAGAAAATGATAGATTAAAACAAGACATTAAGGTTATTCATGCTAAGCTCTTAGACGCCTTAACCCGAAACAAAGTCTTAGAAGAAGAGAACAATGAGTTGAAAAATAATCTTAGCAAGGATAGTAAATCCCTTGACCCTACTGCTGAGTTTATTCCAAATAGGAAGAGAAGAGGTCTTGGTTACATATCCCCCACAAGAAATACTCAAAACTCCCCATCCACAAGCCACCAAAAGAACGCAAGAAAGCTAATCTACCAAAAGCCTCATTCCCAAAATGTTCCCAAAAGTAGGAATCAGCCTGCTCCCAGATTAAAATCCAAATTCCTGCACACTCAAAACTTCCCAAGTAACCAACCAAACCAAAGAACCAGTTGACAACCAATCAATAAGACCAACCATATTCCAAAGACAAAGCAGAGTTCCCTGAATGTAAATATTCCTTCTCCCATATTCAGGAGGAAGAAAATAAACAAATATATAACCATCTCCTATAATTACATCACTCCAAATGGCTATAAACCAATCTGCTTAGAATTAAATGGTTCAATATGGGCATGAATGCCTAAACTTTACAAGGGAAGATGTCCACTAATATGTGGGCTAATGCTCAACAATAATGAATATAGGAAGTTGCTGAAGCAGCTGACTCACAAGAGTGGTACATAGATTCAGGCTGCTCCAGGCACATGACAGGCATCATGAGGCTGCTGTCTAACTACATGGCTAGGGAAGGACCCAAAGTAACATTTGGGAATGTGGAAAAGAAAGGAGAAACCAAAGGAGCTAGAGACCTAATAAAAGGTGGACTTACAATCCAAAACATATCCTATGTTAAGGGTTTGAGGTTCAATTTAATAAGCACAAGCCAGCTTTGTGACAATGGCTACAATGTAGTATTCTCCAAAGATATCTGCTTGATTAAAGATGTCAAAAATGATAAAGTTGTGCTCTCTGGTAGACGAAAAAGAGACATGTATGTTGTTGATTGGAGCTCAGCAAAGGAAGGGATCTGCTTAATAACAAAGGCAGATTCAAATTTAAGTTGGGAATGGCACAACAAACTCAGCCATCTCAACTTCAAAACCATCAACAAACTGTCCAGGAAAGGATTGGTGAAAGGACTTCCAGATATCAACTTCAAGAAGGACCACTTATGTGATGTATGTCAAAAAGGGAAGCAAACAAATGTATCATTCAAATCCAAAGAAGTAGAGTCATCAACTAGACCATTAAGCCCACTGCACCTTGACTTGTTTGGACCAGTTGAACCAACAAGCTTAAGTGGCAAAAGGTTTACCTTGGTTATAATTGATGATTACTCCAGATACACATCGATAATATTCCTTAAGAAGAAGAATAAGACAGAAAAGAAGCTCCCTGAATTGATGAAACTGATCCAGAATGAGAAAAGTCTTTCAATTCAGAAGATCCGGTCAGACAGAGGTACTGAATTTCTAAACTCTATAGTAATTCAGTACTGTGAAGAAAATGGAATCCATCACCAAACTTCAGCAGCAAGAACACCTCAACAAAATGGTATTGCTGAAAGAAGGAACATGACTCTCAAAGAAGCAAGAAGGACTATTCTAGAAGCAGCAGGATTGCCCAAAAGATTTTGGGCAGAAGCAATCAATACCGTCTGCTACACTCAGAATAGAAGTCTTGTTCATAAGACTTACACAAAGACACCATATGAAATTTGGAATGAATTAAGGAAAGGAAGCCAAATGTCAGTCATTTTCATACGTTTGGATGCAAATGCTTCATTCTAAACAATGGAAAAGATTATCTCAAGCCATTTGATCCCAAATCTGATGAAGGGATCTTTCTGGGCTACTCAGCTACAAGCAAGGCATTCTGGATCCTAAACAAAAGAACTCTGGTTGTAGAAGAATCAATCCATGTGGTCTTTGACAACCACTTCACTGCTCATAAAAAGGATGAAGGTGAGACATTTAAAACAAAAAAGGACATTAGAAAGGCTCCAAGCTGCCTTCCCAGAAATAATAAATAAAGAGACGACAGAATTCTGGTTGACTCAAATGGAAGCCCACTGCCAGCAGTTGACTCAAACGGCAGCCCACTGCCAGCAGTTGCCTCAAATGACAGACCACTGCCGGCAGATGACTTGTCCAGAATCAAACTCCCAAATGTTCCAGCCAATGCTATCACAAGGCTCGAAGTTCCTAATCATCCTATTCTACCAGAGGATAGTGAAGAAGAAGAGGAGGATGAGTAGCAAACTCAAACCATTCAAACATCTGACATTAGATGGTTAAGCCAACATCCTCCTCACCAAATCCTTAGAAACATCCATGAAGGAGTTTGTACTAGGTCAACTATTCAGAGAGAAGCATTATTCTCATGCTTTATCTAACAAACTAAGCTTAAGAAAATTGAATAAGCCCTACTTGACTCTGACTGGATACAAGCTATGCAAGAAAGCTCAACCAGTTTGAGAGATAATGTATGGGAGCTTGTGTCTAGACCCTATCATCAACATGTGATAGGAACCAAATGGGTGTTTAGAACCAAGATGAATGAGGAAGGCACCATTGTTAAAAAAAAGGCAAGGTTGGTAGCCAAAGGCTACTGTCAGGAAGAAGGGATAGATTTTGATGAAACCTTTGCTCCTGCTGACAGACTTCAAGCAATAAGAATATTCTTAGCTTATGCTTCCCATAAGCAATTCACTGTCTATCAAATGGATGTGAAGAGTGCCTTCCTAAATGGTCTACTAGAAGAGGAGGTCTACGTGGAGCAGCCTCCTGGATTTGAAATCAATAGAGAGAAAGATCAAGTATACAAATTGAAGAAAGCTCTTATGGACTCAAGCAAGCCCCAAGAGCATGGTATGACACTCTCTCTGAATATTTAGTGAGTAATGGGTTCACTAAAGGAAAAGTAGACAAGACACTATTCAATATTGAAGAAGGTCCCTACATGCTGCTTATCCAAATCTATGTTGATGACATAGTCTTTTGAAGCTCAAATCAAGCTCTATGTGAGAAATTTTCAATTCTCATGCAAAACGAATTTGAAATGAGCATGATGGGAGAGTTGAACTATTTATTGGGATTACAAGTGAAGCAGACTCCACAAGGTATCTTTATCAACCAAGCTAAGTATACAAGAGATCTCATCAAGAAATTCAAAGTTGAAAACAAGTCTACTGTGAAAATTCACATGAACATTTCACAAGGTTTGAGTCAAGATGAAGATGGGAAATATGTTGATCCTACACTCTATAGAGGTTTGATTGGTTCCTTGTTGTATCTCACTACTAGTAGGCCAAATATATCCTACTCAGTTGGGGTATGTGCAAGGTTTCAATCAAAGCCTAAAGAAAGCCATCTACTTGCTGCAAAGAAGATATTGAGGTATCTCAAAGGTAATCCCAACTCTGGATTATGGTACCCTACTGATGGAGTATAAGGCCCAGGAACCCCCGACCCACAGACTCCTACTGTAGCGGCCCGAGTATCAAGAAGCCCACAAATACACGTGTAAGTGCCTTCAGCCTCCTTGGCCGAGGGCTCCAAATTCCACAGAACAGTTTCATTTGAGCATACGAAGCTACTGGGAGGAAACTGCAGAAATCAGGAGCCTTCGGCTTACAGAGCCTTCGGCTTACAGAGCCTTCGGCTAAATAGAGCCTTCGGCCACAGGGGGTCTTCAGCATGAGTATTCACCTTCGGCATCAGAAGCCTTCGCCACATACAGCCTTCGGCAAAATGGAGCCCCGGTTAGAAGAGCCTTCGGCCCAGCACCCTTCAGCCGAAGGCATCCACCTCGACAGAATATCCTCTCCACATGCGCCTGGATCACCGTACCAAGTACAAACGTCACATCCAACCACCGCATTTAATGCGGCCACATGCGAGTGCCAGTGCCACCCCGGTTGAGGTGACCCCTCGACCACAAGAATGCTGACACGTGTCTCTATCTAGCATTTATTACTACTATAAATAGCTCCCCCTTTTCCCTTTGTAACACACAACTTGAATACACATTCCACATTCGAACTCTTTATCTCTCTTACTTATTTGCTCTGACTTCTCTCTAGTTACTCCCCGCAGTAACCCCTCGGATAAGCTACCCCCGGGTACACTTATCCATCATTTGGTGCTCTCGTTGAGAGGTCGAATAAATCAAGTAAGAAACCCTCCCCTTCAGCTAAAAACAGCTATCAAAATGGGAAGAAACACCCGTGCCCAATCCAAGACTCATGAGGACAGGAACCTGGCCCTCGGCGACGTCGACGCCCCCGAAGCCTCAAACAGGGCTCCCGAGGGCGGAGCCCTCGCTGGGTTGGAACAGACGACTGTCGACCTGCGCCTTCAACTCCAACAAAATGCCCCCGATGCCCGCCTTGGCATCGAGGCCAAAAAGAAGGACCGGAGCGAAAACCAAGTGAGCCCTCCGGTCCTCACTATCGACGTGCAGTCAGCATTCTCCGCCTTCATCCAAACACTCACCCAAAATCCAGGTGCCTTCGGCACTCTGGTGCCCCTTCAACCACAGGTCGGGGAGAACGCTATACCTCTCCTGCATCCACCCCCCTTTGTGAACCCTACCCCTCGGGTTGGGAACGACGACGGGGTCGTGGCTCAAGACACCACCTCCCAGGAAGTCCAATCCCGGGACCGCCGTGGCTTAAACAAGGAAAGGCCCAGGACCTCCGCCCTCGAACGGCTCGGAGGGGCGCAAGACCGCCGAGGGGTCCAAGACCGCCTCGGTGGAACGGCGTTCCAAAGACCCCAAGAGAGCGGGGATCCGTTTCAAGGGCAGACGAAAGACGTCTCCCGCAGGACAAAGGCAAGAGACTACTCCATGCCAATGACGCCAGACACCAAATCAACCAGGCCCACTCCGCTCGGGTACGCTCGCAGGGGGCGGAGGCCCTCCCGAGGGATCCCAGAGACGAAGTGATTGAAGCCCTCCAACGCCTCCTTGATGAAATGGAGGCCCGCCAGACGCACACTACAGCTTCCGCCTCACAAGAGGACCCCAAATACACCGCCATGCTAGCAAAGATGGAGGAGATGCAAAGGAAATTTGTCGAAGGCTCCGGGGAACCCGTTATCCAACTCCGAACTCGGACGCCGTTTACACCAAGGGTATTGGCAGCCCAAATTCCAGGGAAGTACCGAGGGCAACCCATCAAGCCCTATGAAGGAAAAACTAACCCCCAGGAGCACTACAACAGGTATCAAAACAGCATGATGATGATGGGGGCATCAGATGAATATTTATGCCGTTGGTTTTCTTCCACCTTGGAGGGACCAACATACGAATGGTTCAACCGATTGCCCGAGGGCAGCATTGACTCTTGGCAAGATCTTGCCCAACGCTTCCTCACCCATTTCGCCGGAAGGAAGCGCGCGAAAAAGCACTTCTCCCACCTCCTCTACGTCAAGCAACAACCTGATGAAACACCTCGGTCCTTCATTGACCGGTGGATGAAGGAGACAGACGAGGTCGAGGGTGCCGACAAGCGTACCCTCCTCGTCCTCTTCCAGGGGGTTCTCCGCAGCAGCCCCTACGCACGGAGCCTCATCACCGACCCCTCAAGATCATACCTCAGAGCACTCCAGCGAGGGAGCCTATACGCTGACGCTGACGACCTCCACTCCTTCAAGAAGAATGAAGGCCAGCCCTCGAAGAAGACAAACAACACGCCGGCCAAAAATGCCCCCTCGGCCGGGGGCCGAGACCATGGAAGCCACACCCAGCAGGGCTGGAACGACCGCCAATGGCGCCCTCGGCTGGACATGCTGAGGGCTTCCCTCACGCACCCGGTGAGCACTATCCTCAACTATGCGGAGGAGCAGGACCTTTTCCCCAAGGACCCTCGGCCGGGAAGGGAGATCTACACCATCCACCAAGGCGGCACATATTGCCGTTACCACAAAAGCACCTCCCACAATACAGATGATTATGTCTCGTTAAAGAAGGCTATTGAACTCTTAATTCAACGGGGTGAGCTCCACCAATTCATCAAAAATGCCCCAAGGAAAAACGCCGGGGAGAACACAGATAAAAAAGAAGAGGACATCGCAACGAAGAAACATGAAATCGGGAGGTTCAGCGACGACGAGGAGTTCGAGGAGCCCCAACTGAAGAAGCGCCACCTCCGCTAATCGTGTTCCTCGTCGTCGGCCTTGGTCTCAACCTTGAGCCCTCGACCTCGAGGCACATTATCATCCCCTCGGCCTATAACCCTCGGCCTCGAGCCGTGTATCTTAACAAAGTCGTTGTCAAACAACGCACCCCTTATATTTCGCTTATTTCTATGAATTTAAGTAAACTACAACACAACCCAGACATCTTATCGGTCCCTTCGAGGCCAAATGCCCAGGTATGGCCGATGGTGTCTAAAGACGAGGGGCCTGCAAAAGGCCCACGTTTTTGGAGTGGGACGCTCACCGCGTCGCCGGCGCGCAACGCACAGCGACAGACCTGAAAGAATGGCTGAGGTGACGAAATCTCCAAACTTAGGGGTGAAACGGGAGTCTTCGGAAACCGACTAAGCCTAGCCCGTGCCGTAAATAAACGATGGGACCCCCCAAGGTCAAGGGACGGTTCAACGCCGGGGGACTAACAGACGAACCCCCGGACGGATCACTTGGACCCCCTTCCGGCCAAGGCGGGGAAGCAACCCCCTCGGCCGAAGCCTGAAAGAAGGAACACACATCAGGAGGACTAACATACGACCTCCTGGCACAATCAAGGGACGACCCGGCGCCGGGGGACTAACAGACGAACCCCCGGACGGATCACTTGGACCCCCTTTCGGTCGAGGCGGGGAATCAACCCCCTCGGCCAAAGCCTGAAAGAAGGAATACACATCAGGAGGACTAACATACGACCCCCTGGCACAATCAAGGGACGACCCAGCGCCAGGGGACTAACAGACGAACCCCCGGACGAATCACTTGGCCCCCTTTCGGCCGAGGCGGGGAATCAACCCCCTCGATCGAAGCCTGAAAGAAGGAACATACACCCGGAGGACTCCCGGAATTATCAAGGAAAGGCCCTCGGTCTCAATTTGATTCTACATCACCAATGGCCCTCAGCCTCAAGAACACAACAGCCCTCGGCCTCAGCATGACTCTACGTCACAGCGGTTCTGGCCTTAGCGTGATTTCACATCACTAACGGCCCTCGGCCTCAACGTGATTCTTCATCACCAATGGCCCTCGGCCACAGCGTGACTCCATTGCACAACGGCCCTCGGCCTCAACATCACAACGGCCCTCGGCCTCAGCATGACTCTACGTCACAGCAGTTCTGGCCTTAGCGTGATTTCACCAACATCCCTTGGCCTCAACGTGAGTCTACATCACCAACGGCCCTCGGCCGCAGCGTGACTCCACATCACAACGGCCCTCAACCTCAACATCACAACGGCCCTCGGCCTTCATCCCTCCGGCATCATTTATTTGATGTCGGGGGCCATCACAAAGACCCCTCGGCCTTCATCCCTTCGACATCTTTATTTAATGTCGGGGGCCATCACACAGGCCCCTCGGGTTGACCTTCATCCCTCCGGTATCTTTATTTGATGTCGGGGGCTATCATACAGGCCCATCGGCCTTCATCCCTCTGACATCTTTATTTGATGCCAGGGGCTATCATACAGGCCCTCAACCTTCATCTCTCCGGCATCTTTATTTGATGCCAGAGGCTATGATACAGGCCCCTCGTCCTTCATCCATCCGACATCTTTATTTAATGTCGGGGGCCATCACACAGGCTCCTCGGCCTGACCTTCATCCCTCCGGTATCTTTATTTGATGTCGAGGGCTATCATACAGGCCCATCGGCCTTCATCCCTTTGGCATCTTTATTTGATGTCGGGGGCCATCACAGAGGCCCCTCGGCCTGACCTTCATCCATCCAGCATCTTTATTTGATGCCGGGGGGCTATCATACAGGCCCATCGGCCTTCATCCCCCCGACATCTTTATTTGATGTCGGGGGCCATCACACAGGCCCCTCGACCCTCATCTCTCTGGCATCTGTATTTGATGCCAGGGGATCTCACACAGGCCCACCTGGCCTTGCACCCCTCCGTCACCTTTATTTGGTAATGGAGGGTCCTTACAAGCTCCTCAGCTTTTTCATGCAGGATCTAAGGCTGGTCTTGGATATCCCCTCAGCAGACGGACACAACCACCGCTCAAAAATCAAGGCCGAAGGGTGCATTCCTTTTGCTCCATTCTGGGGGCATCCTGTGTACTCTTTTTCCCTCATTAGGATTTTTTCCCGCAGGGTTTTTTCCTAATGAGGTTTTTAGCGAGGCATCTCCCCATTGTGGAACAAAAGGCGTCACCCCTCGGTGGCTCCTACTGAAGGCATGCATCACTCTACTCTTGTTTCCCTCGAGAAAATCTCGGCAAAAGGAGTGGGGGACTGGGGGACTCCCCTCGGCAAAACACGCAAATGTTAAAAATTTTCTATTTCTCAGCCACAGCAAGCTGAGGCAAGATCACAACGACAATCTACTTCCCTCGACACAATGCCTTCGGCCACACAATGCCTTCAACCACATGATACTTCGGCCACACAATGCCTTCAGCCACATGATACCTTCGGCCACACAACGCCTTCAGCCACATGATGCCTTCGGCCACATAATGCCTTCGGCCACACAAAGCCTTCAGTCAACAAATGCCCTCGGCAAACACAAAAATGCAGATCTCTCACTACTTTACAAACTACAACAAAGAAACACATGCGAGCAACACACTCGCACTTCCTTCAAGAAGCCCTCAGCCCCTGACATGTGGGGGAATTGAGAAAATGAGGCACCCAACAAAACAGGGGAGCCTTCGGGGCAATCACCACAACTACTCCTTTTCCCTCAAGTACCTTTTCGGCAAAAGGAGTGGGGGACTCCTGATGGAGTATATGGCCCAAGGACCCCCGGCCCACAGACTCCTACTGTAGCGGGCCGAGTATCAAGAAGCCCACAAATACACGTGTAAGTGCCTTCGGTCTCCTTGGCCGAGGGCTCCAAATTCCACAGAACAGTTTCATTTGAGCATACGAAGCTACTGGGAGGAAACTGCAGAAATAAGGAGCCTTCAGCTTACACATTTGGCTTACAGAGCCTTCGGCTTACAGAGCCTTCGGCTAAAAGAGCCTTCGGCCACAGGGGGTCTTCAGCATGAGCATTCATCTTCGGCATCAGAAGCCTTCGGCACATACAGCCTTCGGCATAATGGAGCCCCTGGTTAGAAGAGCCTTCGGCCCAACACCCTTCAGCCGAAGGCATCCACCTCGACAGAATATCCTCTCCACATGCGCCTGGATCACCGTACCAAGTACAAACATCACATCCAACCACCGCATTTAATGCGGCCACATGCGAGTGCCAGTGCCACCCCGGTTGAGGTGACCCCTCGACCACCAGAATGCTGACATGTGTACCTATCTAGCATTTATTACTACTATAAATAGCTCCCCTTTTCCCTTTGTAACACACAACATGAATACACATTCCACATTCAAACTCTTTATCTCTCTTACTTATTTGCTTTGACTTCTCTCTAGTTACTCCCCGCAGTAACCCCTCGGATAAGCTACCCTCGGGTATACTTATCCATCACCTACGAATGGAGGTTTTGAACTCTATGGCTATTCAAAGTCAGACTTTGCTGGATGCAAAATTGACAGAAAAAGCACCTCTGGTACTTGTCAATTAATTGGAAGAAGACTTGTCACATGGTTCAGCAAGAAACAAAACTCAATTGCTACTAGCACTGCTGAAGCAGAGTACATAGCTGCACGAAGCTGTTGTGCTCAAATACTCTGGATGAAACAACAACTAAAAGATTATGGTGAAGAAACAAAAGAGAGTAGCATCCTATGTGATAACACAAGTGCTATTGCAATTACTCATAATTTGGTGTTTCACTCAAGAACCAAGCATATTGAGATAAGGCACCACTTCATCAGAGAACATGTTGAGAAGAAGACAATCAAAACAGGGGAGCCTTCAGGGCAATCACCACAACTACTCCTTTTCCCTCAAATACCTTTTCGGCAAAAGGAGTGGGGGACTCCTGATGGAGTATATGGCTCAAGGACCCCCGGCCCACAGACTCCTACTTTAGCGGGCCGAGTATCAAGAAGCCCACAAATACACGTGTAAATGTCTTCGGCCTCCTTGGCCGAGGGCTCCAAATTCCACAGAACAGTTTCATTTGAGCATACGAAGCTACTGGGAGGAAACTGCAGAAATCAGGAGCCTTCGGCTTACAGAGCCTTTAGCTTACAGAGCCTTCTGCTTACAGAGCCTTCGGCTTACAGAGCCTTCGGCTAAAAGAGCCTTCGGCCACAGGGGGTCTTCAGCATGAGCATTCACCTTCGGCATCAGAAGCCTTCGGCACATACAGCCTTCAACATAATGGAGCCCCCGGTTAGAAGAGCCTTCGGCCCAGCACCCTTCAGCCGAAGGCATCCACCTCGACAGAATATCCTCTCCACATGCGCCTGGATCACCGTACCAAGTACAAACATCACATCCAACCACCGCATTTAATGCGGCCACATGCGAGTGCCAGTGCCACCCCGGTTGAGGTGACCCCTCGACCACCAGAATGCTGACATGTGTACCTATCTAGCATTTATTACTACTATAAATAGCTCCCCTTTTCCCTTTGTAACACACAACATGAATACACATTCCACATTCAAACTCTTTATCTCTCTTACTTATTCGCTCTTACTTCTCTTTAGTTACTCCCCGCAGTAACCCCTCGGATAAGCTACCCCCGGGTACACCTATCCATCACCTACGAATGGAGGTTTTGAACTCTATGGCTATTCAAAGTCAGACTTTGCTGGATGCAAAATTGACAGAAAAAGCACCTCTGGTACTTGTCAATTAATTGGAAGAAGACTTGTCACATGGTTCAGCAAGAAACAAAACTCAATTGCTACTAGCACTGCCGAAGCAGAGTACATAGCTGCACGAAGCTGTTGTGCTCAAATACTCTGGATGAAACAACAACTAAAAGATTATGGTGAAGAAACAAAAGAGATTAGCATCCTATGTGATAACACAAGTGCTATTTCAATTACTCATAATCCGGTGTTTCATTCATGAACCAAGCATATTGAGATAAGGCACCACTTCATCAGAGAACATGTTGAGAAGAAGACAATCAAGTTAGAATACATTCCCACAGAAAAGCAGCTGACTGACATCTTCACCAAGACATTGAATGAAGCAAGATTCAACACATTAAGGCAAGAGCTTGGAATGTTAAATGATCTTGATCAAGTGAAGGAATAACCCGACACCCAGTTAGGGCGAACTCAATTGAGGGGGAATTCTCAGCCACATGCTGAGGGGGATCATTTCCAAACATCGAGGAATGAAGCATCAAGTTCCATGAAAAGCTCATGAAAGTTAAATCTAAGTTACAAACTGCCTCCCAGTAGCAGCTAGCTCAGCAGGTGACTGCACCTAGCAGCACTTGGCTTAGCAGGTGACTACACCTAGCAGCTGGCTCAGCAGGTGACTGCTACTAGCCCACTGCTACATTTTCTTGATACTTGCGAGAATTTGCATCACATAATTCATACAAAAGGACAAGAGAGATACAAGGAAGATGAAATGGAAGTAAAAACACGGTTCATAAAAATCGAGCAGGTGCCTGCCTTAGGAGAGCAGCCGACTGTTTCAAGACAGCAGTAGGCTCAATTTCTGACAAAAATACATGGAATCTAAGTACTTGGCATATGTCATCTTAATCCTCTTATATCAATGATTCCTAAAAGGTAACTTTTTTCTCTCAGAAACCACCAAAAGTTTCCTCAAGAATGAGCCACCTGCTCACAGTGTGAACACAGAAACTAGCAGTTAATGCCATGCCTGACCAGCCGTATTCTCCAACGGTTATATCTTAACGGCTAGTTTCCGATAACCTATAAATACCTCCTCCGTACAATTCTTTAACTCCTTTTGCTTGCAATCACTCTCTAACCTCTTTCTAAACTCTTAAACGATCTCAAAGCTCTCAAGGCTCTCAAACGAACACTTCTTTCACACAAACATTTCATTCCCCACAAACACACATGGCCTCTCTCATCTAAATCTCAAAATTCATCTTCACCGGATCCATTCTCAACACTGCCATCGCCATGAACAAAGGTAATAATAGTGACCTCATGAGAGAGCTACTAAGGAAACTGGAAACAACGGGCCTTACGAAGATGTCAACCTACCCCTATCCGCACTTCTATCCTGAAGTGGTGGCCGAATTTTACCTTAATTCTGAACAAGGTACCCTTAAATCCGTCATCAAGGGAAGGCCTGTAGAAATTGAAGAAGGGGACATCAGGGTACTGCTCTCTCTACCTTGTAACGAAGCTCCATCAGTTGAAGACTTCACACTAGACACATAACATCTCAAAGAGATAGTTCTACGTGAAGGTGCTCGGTCAAAAAGAAGAAAATGGTCCACGAATATGCTCTGCTCATGGACATCCTCTACAAATGTGTAGACACAAAAAACACTTCCCTGGATGAACTGAATGAAAAAAGGGCAAAATACTTGGCTGCAATCATCTCAGGGTCCCCATACAATTGGTCAAGGTATGTTTACAATCAAATGCAAAAGTATGTAACTAAATCACACGAAGAAAGAAGAGAAGACGATACCTTCCCATGGGTAGGTTATGGTTTTCTAATTGGGGAAGTACTGAAGAAGAAAGGAATCATAGGGACCACCAAGGAACCATCAAATTGGAGGAAAATCCTCTTCCAAACCTCAAAGGTAGGAGCCCCAGAAATTCAAGAAACAATAGAAATTTCCTCCAACGAGCTCCTCAAAACTGCCTTCAACAGAATCAAGACCAAAACGACTAAGAGGCTCAGATCAGGATGCAAAGAGGTTCAATCCAAAAGAACAAGAACCTCTACACGAAACCTGCAAGAAGAAATTGAAGCTGCAGCAAGTGAAGAAGCAATTGCCTCTCCTCTCCCGACTATCAATGAAGAAGCAGGGCCCTCCTCATACGCCTCAAAAGAAACCAATGAATCAGCCACACCATTGTTCGTCCTCATGTCTAGGCTAAGGGATGGAGACGAGATGCAGGAGCAACAAAATGAGCAGCCGGCTCCAACCGAAGAGCAGCTGGCTCAACTAAACGAGCAGCAGGCTCAAACTAAAGAGCAACCGGCTCACTTAGATGAGCAGTAGCCTCCTCTCGCACCACCAGCTAGTTCTCCAGTACTCACACCTCTAGAGCAACTAGATGCAGACTGTGCCAGAGTAAAGAATTGGAGAAAATGGAAGCTAACACGCATTCTGGAGCAAGCTGAAACTCTATCAAGCTTCATCTATGAGGAAGACTTCGCCTTAGAATGGCTTGGAACAGAAGATCTGGCAGTTGCAACCACTATCTTCAAGATCAATCAAGTGTATGCAATAAAGAAGAAGAAGCTCCCTGCCAAGGCGGCAATTGAAGACTCCAGTGATGATGATGATGATGATCCAAAGGGACCACGTAGCTCAAAAGGTAAACAAATCATCCACTCCTCCTCCTCTAGTGACAAAGAACTCAGAAGAGTTATGGTGAAATCAAGAATGGAAACTCAAGGAGGTGGAGAAACCTCTAAAGCAAACAAAACATCTCAAGCACAACCAACTGCCATCTCACAACAGGCAACTCCACTTCCAGACCTCAACAACGAACCCAACCAAGAAGAAGCTCCTGAGCAACAACCTACTACATCTGAGGATATTAGAAGGAAAAGCATCACAGAAGATGCAGAAGATACTCCAACAATGGCAGATGTCTTCATCCAAGAAAGAAGGGCCACCACCAAATTCATAAGCAATGCTGAGGTTAGGCTTCACAAGAGGTTGATCAAGATGCATAAACACTTTTATCACCTACTAGAGATGCGGTTTGCTGAAGTACACTACCACATCAAAAGCAACTTGATGATCCAGCAAGTCTTCAACTCTGAGCAAAAGGCACAACTAAAAATCCAACTCTCCCAGCAGCTGGCTCAGATGGAAGCTATACACCAAGAGCTCGCTGCACTACAAGCTAAAGATGAAGAGCTGGAAAACCAAATACTGGCATCTCTAAGGGAACTGCGATAGCAAGAGACAACAACAAACTCCCAACCGGAAGCAGAGTCCTCTGCTCAAGTACCTCTACTTCCCTCTTTACCTCCTAACCTTGAACAAGCTCTTCAAAGGGTGTAGGAGAATGAAGAGTACCTCACAAAGCTAAGGAGTGAGGAGTTCCCTGCCATGCTCAAAATCTCCCACAAGTTCCTCATGGAGTAGCAGGCTCATGTTCAAGCCTTTGAGCAATTAACAAAGGCTGTTGAGAACAACTTCAAAGTTCTTCAAAAGGCAACACAAGACACCTTTTGGAAGCAAAGGCAGTGACTTCCAGAAGTTGGGACAGGGACTTTCCAAGCAATTCCTTGCTTGTGTGTCTTAAGGACTCCAAGTAATTTGCCCCTTTGTTCCTCACTTAAGTGTGCGGCGATGACGACAGGGCATTTGCCTTCGTCATCCAAGAATGCGTATTCTAAATGGTCAGGGAGTTTCTTTAGTTCGAGGGGGCGGTCATTTCTTAAGTTTTGTTCATTTTTCTCCCCCCCGAACTAAGACAATACTTCGTGAGAAGCTTGCTCAATTATCGCGTCCTCACAACTCTCACATGCATCACTCATGTCACCGTTTGCTTCTTTTAACAGACATGCTTTATCACTTACATGTCCATTCTCTTCCCCAAACAGATACCCTTCAATTGATTCGAAAGTATCAAGAAAATGACATCCTTGAAAGGAATCTGTGGGGTGTTTCATAACATTTGAGAGTCGGAAGGTGCATAAATCATCTTCAACTCTTAGAGTTAATGAGCCATCAGTGACATCAATCAAGGCCCTGGCGGTAGCCAGAAAGGGCCTTCCCAGAATAAGAGGTTTTTCCCTATCCTCTTCCATGTCCATTACTACAAAGTGGACTGGGAAAATGAATTTGTCAACCTTGACCAAGACGTCTTCAACAATTCCTTTCGGATATTTGACTGAGCGATCAGCCAGTTGAAGACACATCCTGGTGGGTTTCATTTCCCCAAGTCCTAGGTTCTCGACTATAGAGGAAGGCATCAGGTTGATACTCGCCCCTAAGTCAGCTAGAGCATTAATGAAATTGAAATTGTCAATTGAACAAGGGATAGTGAAGCTACCTGGATCCTTTAGCTTTTCAGGTATTGACCTTAGAACCACCGCTGAGCATTCTGCATTTAGGTCCACGACTGAGAGCGCCTGCAACTGCCTGTTTTTTGTGAGCAAGTCCTTGAAAAACTTGGCATATTTTGGCAACTCCGCCAAGGCATCCATCAGCGGCAGGTTGACGTGGCGTTGTTTGAGTAGGTCCAGGAATTTGTTGCATTTCCTACTATCGTCATCATTTCTAACCCGTGAAGGAAACAGGAGAGAAGGTTTGACAATGGTGACCTTTGTGTTAGGGCGTGTTGGTTCCATGCTCTTCTCAGTTGGAGCATCAGTATGTTTCTCTGTTGTCATACTAGGTGTCTCCTCCTCTTCACTGTTCTTCTGCTTGTCCTCGGTTGTTTGTCTCCCACTTCGGAGAGTGATAGCTTGCACATGTTCACGGGGATTAGGTTCTGTAGTGCTAGGCAAGTTGCCAGGCTGACGACCGGGAACATTATTCTGATTAATTTGCATCATCAGAGATTTGATCTGATTGTCAGTGCTAGCTCTGTATTTTTCCATCTCCTCCCGTGTCCGTGCTAGTTCAGCTACCAGCAAGCCTATCTCCGACGTTTGGGCCGCCTCTGTTTGTCGTATATGTGGAGGCATATAAACCTGTTTGTTCTGGTTTGATTGGTTTAGTGCTCCTCCCTGGTTCCGCCCTTGGAAGTTGTGCCCTTGATTGTTGTTGTTGTTGTAGTTCTGGTTACCTTGGTAACCGCCGCAAGGGTGATCATTGTTGTAATCCCTCCGCCATTGGTTACCTTGGTAATTTCTCCCTTGGTAATTTTGAGGAGGGTAATTTGTGTTACCCCCCCCCCCCCCCCTGTTGCCTTGATTTGCCCATGGCCCTTCTTGTTTCGTTCGGTCATATTCCAGCATTGATGGAGTATATGGCCCAGGAACCCCCGGCCCATAGACTCCCACTATTCAAAGGGAGGCCCCATAGGCCCAGGAAGCACAGCAAGCCCGAATCACAGCGCCCCAAGTACTGAGCAACCCACGTGGCACACTGGGGGTGCCTTCGGCCCCCTGGCCGAAAGCTCCAAATTCTCACAGGATGGCCAACTCAAGCAAACAAAGTTACTGGGAGAAAACGGCGAAAATCAGTAGCCCTCGGCACCCAGAACCCTCGGCACTAAGGAGGTTCCCGGTACTCAGAGCCCTCGGCTAATCATCTGCAGTTGAGGGGACCTTTCTCGACATAATATCCTCTCCACATGCGCCTGGATCACTGTACCAAGCACGACGTCACATCCAACAGCCGCATTTAATGCGGCCACATGCGAATGCCAGTGCCACCCCGTTGAGGTGACCCCTCGACCACCAGAATGATGACACGTGTCCCTATCTGGCATTTATTACTACTATAAATAGCGCCCCTTTTCCCCATTTGTAATCCAAGCTAAATTCGCTCATCACATTCTCAGCAATACACTCTCTCTCTTACTTTTGCTCTGACTTCTCTCTAGTTACTCCCCGCAGTAACCCTTCGGATACATACCCCCGGGTAGACTATCCATCATTTGGTGCTCTCGTTGAGAGGTCGAGTAATAAAGTAAGAACCCCCCCCTCGCCAAACACAAAACACCTAGCGAAAATGGTGAGAACAACTCGTGCCAACTCCAAGAACGTTGAGGACAGGAACCTGGCCCTCGGCGAAGTCGACGTCCCCGAGGCTTCTAACAGGGCTCCCGGGGGCGATGTCATCACCGGGTTGGACCAGACGGCTATCGACCTACGCCATCAGATTCAACAAAATGCCCCCGATGCCCGCCTCGGCATCGAGGCCAAAAAGAAGGACCGGAGCGAGAACCAAGTTAGCCCTCCGGTCATCACTATCGATGTGCAGTCGGCGTTTTCCGCCTTCATCCAGACGCTCACCCAGAATCCGGGTGCCTTCGTCACTTTGGTTCCCCTCCAACCTCAGGTCGGGGAGAATATCATGCCTCCCCCTCATCCACACCCCCTCGGGAACCCTGTCCTCCGGATGGGGAACGTCGAGGGGGTCGTGCCCCAAGATACGGCCTCCCAGGAAGTCCAATCCCGGGACCGCCACAACATGAACAAGGAACAACCCCGGACCTCTGCCCTCGAGAGATTCGGAGGGGCGCAAGACCGCCGAGGGGTCCAAGACCACCTCGAGGGGAAGGTGCTCTAGAGGCCTCAGGAAAGTGGCGGATCCGTCTCCAGGGCTAATGAAAGGTGTCCCCTTCAGGACAAAGGCAAGGCACCTCTCCATGCCGACGACGCCCGTCACCAAATCAACCAGGCCCACTCGGCCCGTGTTCGTTCGCAGGGGGCGGAGGCCCCCCGAAAGACCCCCGGGACGAAATCATTGCGGCCCTCCAGCGCCGGCTTGACGAGATGGAGGCCACCAAAGCACACGCCACCACTTCTGCTCCCATGCAGACCTGAAGTATGAGGCCATGTTGGCCAAGATGGAGGAAATGCAAAAGAAGATAACCGAGGGCTCCGGGGAACCCACCATACAACTCCGGACCCGGACGCCATTTACCCCACGGGTATTGGCGGCCGGGATCCCGGAAAAATCCTGAGGGCAACTCATCAAGCCCTACGACGGAAAAACTGACCCCCAGGAGCACTACAACAGGTACCAAAACAGTATGATGATTGTAGGGGCATCAGATGAATATTTGTGCTGTTGGTTCCTCTCCACCTTAGAGGAGCCGGCTTACGAATAGTTCAATCGATTGCCCGAAGGCTGCATCGACTCATGGCAAGAACTCGCCCAGCGGTTCTTGACACAATTCACGGGAAAGCGCCACACAAGAAAACACTTCTCCCATTTGCTGACAGTGAGGAAAAGGAAAGAGGAGACCCTTCGGGACTTCTTGGAGCGTTGGAGAACGGAGGCTGATAAAGTTGATGGCGCAGACAACGGGACCCTCCTGGCCCTCCCCCAAATAGTACTCTGCCCCGGAAACTTCTCAAGGAGCCTCATCATCGACCCCCCCCGATTATATAAAGGCCCTACAGCGGGGGGACAGGTACGCCGAAGCCGAGGAGGTGGAAAAATGCCATCACAACCCCGATCAGCAACGCCCTCGGCCAGACGACAAAGGCAACCGAGGGCCGGGGGCTCCCCGTAATCAACCCAAGGATTCGGAACCCCCCAGTGACCGCCCCCGGCACGACCAAGCCAAGTCCGGGGGAGGTTACAAGGGGACCCTGAGGGCTTGGGCACAACCTGTTCTCCTGGAGCACCCTCGAACACCTTTGACGCACCCCGTCAGCGTCATCCTCGACTTCACTGAGGAGAGGGGCCTGGTGGAGCGAGATTCTCGCGCACCCCCGGAGGTATATGCCATCAATCCAAACTACCCCTACTGTCCCTTCCATCGGCATCGGGGGCACAAAACCGATGACTGCCATCAGCTGAAGACAGCCATCGAGAGGTTAATACAGGCGGGTATCTGTCCCAGTTTGTCCAAGGCCCTCAGCAACAGGGTCCCCCTTACCAAGGGCCACCCCGAGGGCACCCTGCGAAAGCAAACGCATGGGTCAACCCCATCACCACCCCCCTCAGCAAGAAGAGGGAGATTGGGAACCTGGAAGAAGAGGAGGAAGAGTACCCTCGGTACCAGGAAAAGAAGCGCCACATCCTCATGATCACTGGGGGCAATACCGGGGGCGACTCTACCAGTCAGCGGAAAAAGTGGGCTCAATCACTTTACGTGGGGGAAGTCACTCACATGCCCCCTGTAAAACGGATGAGGGAAGAACCCATCACATTCACCAACGCCGATCTCCCCCCGTCTTCTTCTCCTCATAGGGATGCTTTGGTGATCCAAAGCGAAATCAACAACACCATCATTCACCGAACCTACGTTGACACGGGGAGCTCCGTCAATGTAATGTACCTCAGCACCTTCAGAGAGCTGCATCTGGAGAGGGGTCCCTTCGGCCCATCAAGACCCCTCTTGCCGGTTTCACCGGTGATACCATTGATTCCGAGGGGGTCATAACCCTCCCGGTACTCTTCGGCGACGGGCTCCATAGAGCCAAGCTCGAAGTGGAGTTCGTCGTCGTCAACATCGACTGCGTCCACAACGTCATCCTCGGCCGGCCAGCCCTCGAGGATCTCGAAGCCGTCATCTCCATGAGGCACCTCTGCCTCAAGTTCCCAGCCGAGGGAGGCATCGGTTGCTCGAGGGGGAATCAAAAACTTGCCCGCGCCTGCTACCTTCAAGTGACGAAGAAGGTTAGCAAGACGGAATTCCGTGTTGACACTATCACCGGAACTGTGGAAGAGGAAGAAAGGAGGCCGAGGCCTGAACCAGCCGAGGAGGTAGAAGACTTTGCGCTCGATCCGGCCAAGCCGGAGAGAGTTGTGAAGATTGGAGCCCAGCTCCCCGAAGACTTGAAGACCGACATCATCAGCGCCCTCCGCGCCTACTCCATTGTTTTTGCATGGGGGCCGGAGGACATGCCGGGGATCAGCCGAAGGGTCATCACCCACCGCCTGTCGGTGGACCCTTCAGCTAAACCAGTACAACAACGGAGGAGACCCCTCTCGGCCGAGAGGAGGGAATTTGTGAAGAAGGAGGTTGCCATGCTCCTCTCTATCAAGCACATCAAGGAGGTAAAATACCCCTCATGGCTGGCGAACGTAGTCCTCGCACAAAAACCGCCCTCATTCCGCATGTGCGTGGACTACACGGATCTCAACAAGGCGTGTCCCATGGACCCCTTTCCTTTTCTGAATATTGATCAACTTGTAGATGAGACCACGGGGTGTGAAATCATGTCATTTCTCGACGCATTCCGCGGGTATCATCAAATCTTTATGCATGAGGAAGACGCTGAAAAAACAGCCTTCATGACTCCCGAGGCATCTTCTGCTACCTTGTCATGGCCTTCAACCTAAAGAACTCAGGCGCCACCTACACCCGGATGGTGGACAGGGTCTTTCAAGATGTCCTAGGGCGCACCATGGAGGCATATGTTGACGACATGATCAAAAGCAAGCAATCAGCAAGCCATGCTGACGACCTAAGGGAAATCTTCGCCATCATGCAGAAGTTCAACCTTCGGCTAAACCCGAAGAAGTACACCTTCGGCGTACAAGGGGGTAGATTCTTAGGCTACATGGTGAGCCGAAGGGGTATCGAGGCCAACCCCGAGAAGATCCAAGCCATCATCAACATGGAGCCCCCACGCAACGTGAAGGAGGTCCAACGATTGATGGGCCGCCTGGCAGCCCTCAATCGCTTCATATCAAAATCGGCGGAGAAGTCCTTACCCTTCTTCCAGATCATGAGAAAGACCACCGGTTTCCAGTGGACTTCAGAGTGTCAGGGGGCCTTCGAGGAACTGAAACGGTATTTATCTTCACCCCCAGTACTCTCTAAACCCAAGGTTGGGGAGACCCTATACCTTTACCTTGGTGTCAGCCCGACAGCCATCAGCTCAGTGCTCATCCGGGAAGAGGATGGCGTCCAACATGCCATCTTCTTTGTTAGCAAGACCCTCAGGGAAGCGAAACTCCGGTATTCCCCTGTGGAAAAAACAATGCTGGCCATCGTTTGGACTGTCAAGAAGTTGGGCAATTACTTCCAAGCTCACCCGGTCCAGGTCCTCACTCCCCAGCCCCTCGGCGCTTTGATGAGGAGCCCCACCAGCTCCTCCCGAATGGTAAAATGGGTTGTCTTCCTGAGCCAATACAACATCGACATCCGTCCTAGGCCCGCCGTCAAGGGCCAAGCCCTAGCAGACTTCGTGACGGAGTGCACGGCGAGATCAGCCATGGACGAGGAGCCCCCGGCCCCCTCGGACGATTGGTGGACCCTCTACACCGACGGCTCCTCCGCTGTCAAAGCATGTGGAGGAGGGGTGGTTCTCATCTCACCCGTAGGCTTCCGGGCCTATTATGCAATCCGTATCTCCTTCAAGGTCTCCAACAACAAGGCCGAGTACGAGGCCCTCCTCTGTGGCCTTCGGCTGGCAGCCAACATGAAGGCGCGACAAATCCACGTCAAGTGCGACTCCAAGTTAGTTGCCGGCCAAATTTCTGGGAGTACGAAGCCAAGGAAGGGAGAATGAAGCAGTACAAAGAAGCGGCCAAGGAGTTGCTTAAGGTATCTGAGGCACACTCTCTTACTCAAATACCGAGGGCTCAAAACTCCGAGGCCGACATTTTATCGAAGCTCTCGGCCAAATCCCCTGAGCATATCTCAAAAATTGCCAAAATCGAGGAGCTCAGCCTCTCCAGCATACATGCTAGCCCCATCATGCACATACAACAAAGGCAAGAGGACTGGATCTCAGATATTGTCGCCTTCATCACCACAGGGCAACTACCTGAAAATGAGGCCCGTGCCAAGCTAGTGAAGTTGAGGGCTCCCAGCTACACTATCGAAGACGGAAGGCTTTACAAAAGATCATACAACGGGACACTACTTCGGTGCCTTCATCAAGATGAAGTCGAAGTTGCGATGGAGGAAGTGCACAGTGGCACTTGTTCAGCTCATCAGGGACCCTTCTCCATGTCCCGAAGGCTCATAATCCAGAGCTACTTTTGGCGTACAATGGTCCGAGATTGTGCGGATCTCGCCCGAAGGTGTACCGCATGCCAACACTTCCAGAAAGCCCCCGGCAGGCCAGCGGTCAACTATGCCCCCATCAGCACATCTATACCCATCGCTCGATGGGGCATAGACCTTGTGGGCCCTCTGCCGAGGGGTACCTCCAACAACAGGTACATCATTGTCGCCATCGACTATTTCACCAAATGGGTGGAAGCTGAGCCCCTCACCAGCATCACCGAGGCCAGGTGCCGCCATTTTGTTCACAAGAACATCCTCACAAGGTTTAGCGTCCCCCAACAAATCATCTCCGACAATGGGACTCAGTTTGAGGCAACCCCCTTCTGTGCCCTCCTAGAGGCATGGGGCATCAAACACACCTTCTCATCCAGTGCCGGGGGCATACACTACTATCAATTCTCAACAAACGAAAAAAAAACACCAAGTGTTTTAAAAAGAAGACCCCTCGGCACTAAGTACCGGGGGCCGTATACCGGAACAAACACCAAGTGTTGTTTCTAAAGTCGTACCCCTCGAGGACGCATATACCGAAGGCGCCACCTATCGGTGCCGGTAGCACGCAGTGCCCCCGGCCATTTGCAACCAGTGTGCAAATGAAAACCCTTCTCTGAAACGCTTTCCGTGTCACTACCCCAAGGGTATGACAGGCAAGTAATATGCCTAGGATTCGACTTTAAAAAACGGAACGCTTTCCGCGCCATTTCCCCCAGGGATTGGCAGGCATCTGATATGCCCAGGATTCGACTTCCAAATCGAAACGCTCCCCGCGCCACTACCCCAAGGGTATGGCAAGCCACGGACTACGTCTGGCGCCGAGGGGATGACTTTCAAAACTGAGGCGCTTTCCGTACCATCTCCCAAGGGGAGGCAGGCTACAGACCATGTCTTGTGCCCAGGAAACGACCCTCGATCCCCTCGGAACTCGGAAGGTTAACCCGAGGGGGGAGCTAATGGTGTATTCTATTACCTCCCGATAGGCCAAGCCTTACCAAGAAACCAAGTTTCTTGAAGCCTTCCCTTCACTACCAAAAAAAAAATGGGGTGGTGAAGGGGAGTAGACTCAGCGAGAAATCAATGAGTACACCACTCCAACAATTCATGGGAACATACCGAGGGCTCCCCACGGGAACACCTTCGGTACCTGGAAGCTCATAATTACCAAAGATACTATTCAACAAGCATCATCAACAAATGGCTAAGTCCACTTTTTGATTGCCTCCGGCTACATCAAAACCGAAGGCTCAAATCCTACAGAACGTGATAGGCTCACTCAACAACAATTCAAAAACGTCCCCGAAGGCTACTATACAACAAATGCTATCAGATGTTGGCCAAGTCCAAGCGAGAATCACCTCCGGCACCTCACTAGACGTCGAGGGGATACACTCAGGCATTGTCCGAGGGAGTCTGTCTTTTTATGCTGCACTTGAACTACAAAATTTCCTAAGTCAACACTGTGGAAACATGATAACAGCCGAAGGCTTTTGGTGCCACAGACCAACCTTGCGAGACAAAGGAAATTGTTCTAGGCCCACATAGTAGGCAGTCGAAGGGTCCCCGCACCGAAGGCCAGCAATAGGAAATACTTAGAAAAAACTTCTAAGTCATAAAGCGTGTGGCCCTCGGCAAACTCACATTGCAACGAGGGTCACCCCACTTCATGCAGCAAGAAATGCCCACATACCGAAGGCCAGATGATATTCAAACACTTAGAAAAATTTTCTAAGTCCTAAATACTTTGCCCCCTGTCGAGTCACCGGTCAACCGAAGGCACACCTACGACAAGGCTCTCACATTCACCCGAAGGCTCCTATCCCATACAACTACACTTGGAAAAATTTTCTAAGTCCTAAATATTTTTGACCCTCGGTCAAATCTCCATGCAGCCAGAGGGGCCACACGGTCGAAGGCTTGGTGAAACTACACTTGGAAAAATTTTCTAAGTCCTGAATATTTCGCCCTCCGTCAAGCACCCATACAGCCCGAGGGGCCACACAACCGAAGGCCTGGTGGGAGGACAACACTAAGAATTTTTTTCTAAGTCCCTAACAACTGACAATCTAAGCATCAAGGTACGAGGGCATTTATTCACGAGGCGTATTAGAAGGCATTCATTCAAAGAAAAAAGAGGGCATACATTCAAAGAAAAACGAGGGCATACATTCAAAGAAAAACGAAGGCACACATTCAAAGGAAAACGAATTATGTACAAAAGCTCGAAGGCAGACATTCATTCATCAAGAGGAAGGAATAGTTGAAATGTCTATTACAGGATGGCCGAGGCCGGAAGCAAACAAATGTTCATTACAAAGCCAGTTCTTTTAAAAATTACTAAGTACAATTTCACTCAGCCTTTGCTTCCTCAGCAGGCTTCGAGGTGACCTCTACTCCAGCCTCCTCACCGTCGCCCTCGACCTCCTTCATCAGCTCTGTATCTTCTAGGTCTGGCCTTTGGACATCCGGAGGGAGGGGAACACGAACATCTGGCTGTAGGGGAGGGAGGCCATATGCTGCCGGGTCAAAATCCTTCGGGTCGATCTTCAAATGACGGGCCATCCTCCGGTAGATGAGGGCCTGAGTAAAAAACTCACCCCCATCATAATATTGCTGGCCCTTTCGGGAAACCCACTCTACGCCAGGCCCGTCACACCACTCGTCAACAGAGGACTCCACAACCGAAGACAGCCAGTGCTTGTGCCCCTCGGCTTTTCACCCCTCCGCCAGGAATCCGGAGATGGCCTCCTCCCGTGCCTAGGCAACGACTTCCGCCTTGGCGGCCTCGGCCTCCTTGGCGGCCTTCTCGATGGCTTCAGCTGCGGACCTCTCAGCCTCGGCCTTGCCCCGGTCAGCTGCCTCCGCTCGCAGCGTCATCTGCCGAAGGCTCTCCTCTAGCGCGGCCATTTGCCTGATGGCATCAGAGTTCTGATGAACGAGTTCCTTCATCTTCGCGTCCTGCTCAGCCTTGTGCAGGCGCCACTCCTCCAGCCTCTGGGCCTGCTCGCCGAGGGCAATGCAAGCCTGTAAGATACAAAGGAGTTAGGAAAGCTATGCAATATATCCTAACACAAGGCAGAATGATAACAATGAAGAAACTTATAGTGAGGGAAGACCAGAGGATCTTGTCCTCGAGGGCCACGTCATCATCAGCCCTGAGGGTGGCTTTGTCAATCTCAGGGGTCATGCCCCTCAGGAGCACCCTCGGATCCACCGTGCAGTTCATCACGGCTGTTCCCCTCGGGAGAGAAACCTGCAGAAGCTCGGAGGGTGGCTCCCTAATACCCATCGGCATTTCAGCCGTTGGCATCTCCACATGCGTCCCGGAGGCGGAGCGCTCATCTACAATCACCACAGAAGGATCCTTCTTCCCGGTATCTCCCTTTTTGGGTTTCTTTCCCTCCGGAGCCTTGCCCGGGGCCTTCCTCTTCGCGGCGGCGGCGGCATCAGCAGTAGGGACCGTCGACGGGCCCTCGGACTTCTTGAAAAAATCACCGGCGGGCTTCTGGATGCCCGCATCCATCCCCTTAGGAAATTTGGAGGACTTCTTCTTCAAATCAGCAAGCCCCTTGACGTTCATCTTGGATACCGGGATACCTGCAAAACAATAAGGGGTTAGGCCGACGGGTCATCAATAAATGGCATGAAAGTACAAAAAGAGAATAAAAAATGTATGCTAAGTACGAAAATGAAGATGCCCTCGGCTGTTACCTCCTAAACCCCCGGGGGCTCCATCAAGCATCGGGTACTTTTCATCTGTTTCCCCCAGGAAGTGATACCGTCGGAACCCGAGGGTATACAGATCCTCCTCCAGGGTGCACTCCTTGATGGTTATATTCTTGTTTCGACCCTCCGGGATCTTAGCCAGGATCCTGCCATCCTTCTCGAGGGCGGCGCTCCTCACCTTCTCATGTCGCCTAAACCGGTCGCGTAGCTCCCTCGGGAAAGGGCTCTCAGCTAGCCTGACGTAGCACCATCGCTCCTTCCAGCCTTTGTTTGAGGAGGGCGCCTCAGTGAATAACTTGAACAGAGCCACCTGTTGCAGGTTCGCAAAGCCCTCGGCATTCGCATGCCCTCCCCCCGGCACAAGTTGAAACTTTGGAAAAATAAGTCCAAGCTAGGCGTTACCCCCCGGGACTTACAGAGATGGAGGAACCCAGCGATGTACGAGTGGCTATTCGGCGTGAGCTGGCAGGGGAGCAGTCCTACGTACCGAAGGTACTCACGCAGAAAAGGGTGCAGAGGGAATCGGAGGCCCATTGACACCGAGAGGATGTAAACAGCTATACACCCCTCGGGGGCCCGGGAGAGGACATCATCAGGTCCCGGTGGCACTACCGTCGCCGAGGGTCCCAAATGAAGCTGGGTAACGTAGAAGTCCGCCCCATCAGCCTTCGACCTTATCTCAAGGGCGGCGGTATTCAGGAAGGAGTACCCCTCGGGCATATCGACGAGCTTCCCTTGGTCAGCAACGCTGCCTTTCTTCTTGGAAGCGGCAGCCTTCGTCTTCTTCTTCCCCGGGGTCACCCAGAGAGGGGCCGGGTTCAATGGTCGAGAGGGGGAAGAACAACGACGGTGACCCTCATGTTCTCTCACTGCGCCTCTTCCTCGGCCACTTGCCAGGCGAGGGCCAGCTCTTCATCCTCGCATTCTTGTTCGAACCCCTCGGCTTCCACCTCGGCAACTAGGGCTCTTTGCAACTCCATCGCCACGGCGGCATCATGCCCCACCGAGGGTTGTTCACTTGTGGACTCCACATCGGAGACAGTTTCATCCTCGACCGAAGGCTCCCTCGAAATGTCATGCTATGGCTGATGAATTTAATGCTCTCATCAATAATAATACTTGGGATCTGGTGCCCTTTGACAATTCTAAGAATATAGTTGGTTGTAAGTGGATTTATAAAACTAAATATCACTCTGATGGTTCAGTAGAGCGACATACAACTAGATTAGTTGCTCAGGGTTTCAATCAACAGGCTGGGATTGATTTCTCTAAAAATTTCAGTCCTGTCATTAAACCCACTACAGTTCGTATCGTTCTCACTCTTGCTGTGTCTTTTGGCTGGGTCATTAGGCAACTTGATGTCAAAAATACATTTTTACATGGTCATCTTAGTGAGGAAGTTTATATGCGTCAACCTCGTGGTTTTATACATCCTCAATTTCCTAATCACATTTGTTGTTTGCGTAAGGCCAGTTTTGGACTTAAGCAAGCACCACGGGCATGGTTTCATAGATTCAGTAGCTTTCTTCTACAACAAGGATTTTGTTGTAGTAAGTCTGATAACTCCTTGTTCATTTATTGCCATAATAATTCTATCATTTATTTATTATTATATGTAGATGATATTATTATTACTGGTAATTCTCTTTCCACCATTACCCAGTTTATTTCTATTATTTCTAATCACTTTTCTATGAAGGATCTGGGTGATTTACATTACTTCCTGGGCATCGAGTCACGTCGAACTAGTCAAGGTCTTTTTCTTTCTCAAATTAAATATATTTCTGACCTTCTCAGTCGTTTTCATCTCCATACGGTTAAACCCGTTCGCACACCACTCACGTCTCGCACCACCTTATCCCTGTCTGATGGTAAGTTTCTTTTAGACCCCGCTTAGTATCGCAGCAAGGTAGGTGCATTACAATATTTAACTTTGACACGGCCAGATATTACTTATGCAGTACACTTGGTGTCTCAGTTTATGCATGCTCCCCATACTGCTCATCTTTTTGCAGTTAAAAGAATTTTCAGGTATTAATGCATAGGGTCAATTAAATGATGACTTGGATTTTAAATTGGCCTCTTGGCCATACTCTTGGTCATCTTTATTTGATGACCCGAACATCATTATGAACGGTCGCTCGACCTATCTCTTAGTCATGTTTATTTGATGACTAGGATTACCTATCATGCCGAGCTACGCACATACGAGGACCGATCTTGGCCATCCCCTTAGCAGATGCCAATGGTTGCTGTTCCACGCCCAAGCCGAAGGGTTCACCCATTTTGCTTCATTGTGGGGGCATCCAGTGTACTCTTTTTCCCTCATTAGGATTTTTTCCCACAGGGTTTTTTCCTAGTGAGGTTTTTAACGAGGCATCTCCCCAACGTGGACAAAAGGTGTCAACCCTCGGTCCCTATTGAAGACATCACGAGACATGCAGTACTCTACTCCTCTGCACCTCACTACATTCACCTCAAGGAGTGGGGGACTGGAAGAGCGGGGGACTTAGCGCCTCCGTTAACCAAAGAAAAAGAAATTCAAAATTTTTCACGAAGTTTACTCACCAGATGACGACAGATCAACACATAACAGCTCTACTCCCTTTCGCCTCGAGTACTCTCGACTCATGGAGTGAGGGACTTCTGATAGAGTATATAGACTCGAACCCCCTGGTCTCACGACTATCGGGCTTGGACAGCGGCCCACACACGCTCATCGGATGTCATTTGTATTATTGTATTGTTCATATATCATTTGTATGTATTAGATTAGTTTTTTATATTATCAGTCTATTTATGTTACCGGGTCTGTCGAGCCCATATTATAGGCCCAGACCTGGATTTTCCTATATATACTCCTTAAAGTAGTTCTTGTAAACTTAATTCATAACTCATTCATACATTACTATTCATTCATCTTCTCCATCTATTAGCTCAAATCTCCCCTAAATTATATAGATTGGATACCCAATAATCCATCATTACATATTGACCGTCTAATGAGAGCAGGGAACATTGAAAAGTCTATAATTTTACAAACACATGGTTAACAAGTTTAACTATCGGCATTAAGATGAGTACATTATCATCCATTGAGGAAAAATTATATATAATACTAGTATATAATAAAAAAATCAAATTTAATACGTATTGACATTCAGCGGATAAAGTTCTCACGCTCAATTGTTAGTCGGTTTATCTTATACTTAAAAGCAGTACATATGAGAGAAAGAGAGAGACTGTTTTCCCGCTCAATTATTAGCAAATTTATCTTCTAATATATAATACCTAAAAGTAATACATTAGAGAGAATTTTCCTGCTCAATTTGTCCGCTCAATTGTTAGCAAGCTTATCTTCTAATACATTGAAGCACTACATGTGGGACAGAAAATTCTCCCGCTCAATTATTAGCAAGCTTATTTTCTTATACATAAAACCACTTCATATGAGAGACAAAATTCTTCTGCTCAATTGGTAGTCAGCTTATCTTATACTTAAAAGAACTACATATGAGAGAGTTTTCCTGCTCAATACCTAAAAGCACTACATATGAGAAAAAAAATTCCTGCTCAATTTCTCTGCTCAATTGTTAGCAAAGTTATATTCTCATACCTAGAAACACTATATATTAGAGAGAGAATTCTTTCGCTCAGTTATTAGCAAGCTTATCTTCTTTTACCTAAAACCACTATATATGGGAGATAAAATTCTCCCGATCAATTGTTAATCGGCTTATCTTGTAACTAAAAGTACTACATAATTTCAAATGAAAAATGAGCATATAAGCTTTTCTGTATTATTTAAGGGCTAGTTTTTTATTTATAATTATAGTCACTAAATGTTAGCAAACTTATTTTCTAATATCTAAAAACACTACATATGAGAGAGAAAACTGTGTTTTGTGGCTTTAGTTTTTAGTTTGGGAGGAAGCAAGCAAGCTAATTTGGCCGATAATAGCTTTGAATCTCTCGCATGGTCAGCGATTAGTCTTGCTCATTATTGGGCAATCTATTCTATGTCTAATCACAGAGTGAGGTTGCCTATTGGCTATAAGAAGTCTAGAGGAAATGTTTGGGTAGCCAGAATATAGGATGTTTAGTTGTTTTATTTTTAAATTTAATATCATCGTTTTCCAGCAAAAAAAATTATATTTTAGTTTTATACTCTGTATTAAAGTAACTAGGGAAAACTGTCATATAGGTCCACATATATTTAACAAAAAGTCAATTGAGTCCATGTACTTTTTTCCGAGTCAAAAAGTCACATACTCTGGTTGACTGAATTGACTCGGAAAAAAGTACATGGACTCAATTGATTTTTTGTTAGAAGTACGTGGACCTATTTGACAGTTTCCCAAGTAACTATAAGGAAGAACCTCTCCAATATATAGATATTTGTAAATTAAAAAAATTTAAATTGTCTGTGAACTTTTATAGTGACTTTGATATAATTTTAAACATAATTATAGTAACTAAAAATTAATAAGTCATACTTTTAGTCAATATCCTTATTTTAGTCATATATTGAGAATTATTTCTATAATTAATAAGGAATAGCCCATATCGAGGTTGGAAAATTAACAGGTTACTTAATACACTTTCAAATTTATTATTTTTATTTTTCTATATGCAATATTTTTCTCTTATGAAAAATCATAAAAAGTTTGGAATTTTGATAAATGTTTTGTAGAAATTACAACAAAAATTAAAAAGTTATAACGCCGCTATGATGAAGAAATTGGGGTTCTTATATCTTGACTCCGCCAATTGTATGACTTTATATTTCTTTCTCACTGATAATCTCGTATGACTCTCACTTGAGCAACTTCATCACACCACGTGACATTTTTAAATCATTGATCTATTTTACATTGATAATACTATCTGTTGAGATATATCATCCCGACCTATTACTGTTCAGGGGCCCAAAACTTTACGTAGTACGGAACCGTATCAGTAAGGCCCATTTTAGACTACCCATTCGGCCCGCCTAGGCCCAAGAAGCCATTTAGGCCCACTCGGCCCGTTAGGCTTTATACTCTCGGATCCCCCTTCCCCCATTCTCCCTAGCTAGCTTTATACTCCATCAAAGGAGCTTCAATATTGTACTCCCTCCGTCCCTAATCTTTCTCCTTTTTCGGCTGGACACATTTATTAAGATAGTGTGATTTGTGTGGTGGAGAGTTGTGCAGAGGAGAGAGAAATGTGTAAGAATGTGTAAGAATGGTTGTGAACCACAAATTTTTTGCTAAAAGGGGGAAGAGGAGATAATTTTAGGACGGACGAAAAAGGAAAGTTTGAAGATAATTTAGGGACAGAGGGAGTATTATATAATGAGGAGGAGAGTATTAATAAAAGGAGAGGGTTTGAAGATTAGCCTAAACAATCTTGTAGTTTTCTCCCTTTCGGGTTTCCACGTAAAAACAGAGTGTTCGTATCAAATTATATCTGTATTTACTATATCGTGTTGGATTAAACTCAACACTGAGGCCGTTTGTGGGAATCTGGTTCAAAAAGATTAATGTGTTTTGAGCTACAACAAAAAAATGATGCGGAGTGTAATGATTTCAACAAAAAATTAGCAGACAGAAAGAGGGATGAAGGAATTCGGATCTGGGATCTGGAATTCAAGGTTTGGGGGACCAGAAGGCCTGCCGCCTGAACGCCACCAGCCGGAGCAGAACCACTTCCATCGCCACATTACTGTTCACTGCTCAGACCTGGCTCCTCCGTCTGAAGCGCGACACCGTCGCTCGTCGCTGGCAGCCAGCCGTTGGTCACTCTTCCGCCTGGCCAGCCACTGCTCGGACCTCAACACGTGCCAAATGACTTGAAGGATTTTCCAGCTGAAATCCTTAGTTTTTCGCCATTAATGGTGGCTTGGAGTTCATCAAGGTTACATACGAAGCTCAGCAAATCTTCCACGGAAGCCAGACCCCTTTGGCCAACTTTGTCACTTTCCCTTTTAATCAATCAATTTGTGGTTCCTGTTATTTCTGTCTTCTTTTCACAAATCTCTACTACACAGTTTTTACTTTATTATTCTACGTGTCAGTCAAACTTGACAATCTTTTCAAGGAAGTATTTTTTTCCTTGGTAGCCAGCGCTTCATGTCCGGGGAGGCAAGGACAACAGACAGGACCTCAAATATGCAGGCCTCTCCATGATTGTGGGCGGTGCCATCCACTCATGACTCCAAGAGCTAAGTACCAACTTTTAAATTTGGTACATTTAATTGCCACTGAGTAATAGTTTAAAATAGTATCACTACTATTATTTTGTTATCACTATTATTTAATAGGGATTAAATATCTCGAAATTAAGTAATGACCAAGCGAAGTTCTAGTGATAAATGACCACCGTCATTTTAATTAGATGACTGGTGTTGTAGGCCCGTCGGTCCACTCTTGATCAGCTTTAATTAGCAATCGGAGCGTATCTAAATAGCTTGTGGTAGGATAATATCACCGCTATTATCTGTACATCACCATTATTTATTATGGATAAAAAATGTCCCGAATTAAATAATGCAAAGCGAAGCTCTAGTGATGGTTAGTTCAGCCAACATTTTAGTAAATACTTAGTTTTTTGTTGGCTCATTGGCCCACTCTCCATAGGGCTCCGCCTCGATGATGCGTTTTAATTTAGGGGTTACGCATTAGTCTGCACGGCACCAAGTGCCTGATCGACGATCGTACCCCAATACCATCCGCGCCACTAAGCGCAAAGTGTTGTTGCCAAACGCGGCCTATCGGGCCCGAGAGCACCAAAGCGCTCGAACTCGTTTTCGAGGGCAGAGCAGCAACGTGGGTCTGAGTTTTCAAACTCACAGACCGACGGTTATTTCTATGCGACGTTCGGCAAGTCACTAAGTGGCCTCGCCCTGGACGATTGTAACCCCGCACGATGAGCCGGGCCGAGGGTCACAATAACCCATAGGCCGGCAATCGCGAGCGTTGAAAAAAGAAAGCCATATGGATGGTTATAATTATATATATATTGTCGGGCCGTGCGGCCCGTTACCGTGCTTATCATGCAGTTGAGGCCGCTCAATGCGCCCGAGCAGAAGTTTAAATGACGCTCGACATGAGTTCCGAAGATGTTCCAAACCGGCTAAAGAAAAGGGCCGCGAGACGTTCATACTTCCCCAAGAGGCCGAGGGCCAAGAGGAGACCATCGCGGGCGAGGGCCATGAGACCATCCTTACATCACGACTGACCTCACGAAACGGCGTGTTTACACTTTGAAGACCGGCATCATCCCCACACTACGCGGATGAGAGCCGTTGCATGGATACACACGACCGGCCTCTCGGCTCGGCATGCTATCTATATCTGAAGATCGGCCTCGCCCCGCTCCTCGCGAAAGAGGATCGTTGCTGGTTTCTTTCTGATCGGCCCTCAGGCCGATCCCCTCGCATGGCCAACGACCCCCTGGTACGGTGCCATCAGCATATTAAAAGACCCCTAAAAAAAAACAAAAATTCAGAGGGGCACTGGGGAATCCCCAAAGGGGATAAACCTGTTCCTCATCACAATCGCGGCCGAGCCTAGCTCAGGATCCAAAGTACCGGGCCAAATGGGCAGGTAAGCGAACGGGTGAAGGAACAAAGATTCCATCCAGCTCAGAAATCGGCCCCCAGCGCCGACATCATCATGTGGCCATCGACCCCCTGGTACGGTGCCATCATATTCATCATATTTGAAGACCGGCCTCGTCCCCGCTCCTCGCAGATGAGGACCGTTGATTATTTCAGATCGGCCCCAGTGCCGACATCATTTCGTGGCCACAGACCCCCTGGTACGGTGCCATCATCATATTTGAAGACCGGCCTCGTCCCCGCTCCTCGCGGATGAGGACCAATGATTATTTAAGATCGGCCCCAACACCGACATCATTTCATGGCCACTGAGCCCCTGGTACGGTGCCATCATCATATTTGAAGACCGGCCTCGTCCCCGCTCCTCGCTGATGAGTACCGTTGATTATTTCAGTTCGGCCCCTAGTGCCGACATCATTTAATAGCCACCGACCCCCTGGTACGGTGCCATCATCATATTTGAAGAGCTGCCTCGTCCCCGCTCCTTGCGGATGAGGACCGTTGATTATTTCAGATCGGCCTCTAGTGCCGACATCATTTCGTGGCCACCGACCCCCTGGTACGGTGCCATCATCATATTTGAAGACCGGCCTCGTTTCCGCTCCTCGCGGATGAGGACCGTTGATTATTTCAGATCGCCCCCCAGCGCCGACATCATATCATGGCCACTGACCCCCTGGTACGGTGCCATCATTATATTTGAAGATCGACCTCATCCCCGCTCCTCACGGATGAGGACCGTTGATTATTTAAGATCGTCCCCCAGTTCCAACATCATTTCATGGCCACCGACCCCCTGGTACGTTGCCATCATCATATTTGAAGACCGGCCTCGTCCCCGCTCCTTGTGGATGAGGACAGTTGATTATTTCAGATCGGCCCCCAGCGCCGACATCATTTCATGGCCACCGACCCGCTGGTACGGTACCATCATCATATTTGAAGACCGGCCTCATCCCCGCTCCTCGCGGATGAGGACCGTTGATTATTTCAGATTGGCTCCCAGCGCCGACATCATTACATGGCCACCGACCCCCTGGTATGGTGCCATCATCATATTTGAAGACCGGCCTCGTCCCCGCTCCTCGCGGATGAGGACCATTGTTTGATTATTCCAGATCGACTCCCAGCGCCGACATCATTACATGGCCACCGACCCCCTGGTACGGTGCCATCATCACATCTGAAGATCGGCCTCGTCCTCGCTCCTCGCGGATGAGGACCGTTGATTATTTAAGATCGGCCCCCAGTGCCGACTTCATTTCATGGCCACCGACCCCCTGGTACGGTGCCATCATTATATTTGAAGACCGGCCTCGTCCCCGCTCCTCGCGGATGAGGACCATTGATTATTTCAGATCGCCCCCCAGTGCCGACATCATTTCATGGCCACCGACCCCCTGGTATGGTGCCATTATCTTATTTGAAGACCGGCCTCCTCCCCGCTCCTCGTGGATGAGGACCGTTGATTATTTTTGATCGGCCCCTAGTGCCGACATCATTTCGTGGCCACCGACCCCCTGATACGATGCCATCATCATATTTGAAGAGCGGCCTCGTCCCCGCTCCTCACGGATGAGGACCGTTGATTATTTCAGATCGGACCCCAGCGCTGACATTATTTCATGGCCACCGACCCCCTGGTACGGGGCCGTCATCATATTTGAAGATCGGCCTCGTCCCCGCTCCTCGCGGATGAGGACCGTTGATTATTTCAGATCGGCCCCCAGTGCCCACATCATTTCATGGCCACCGACCCCCTGGTACGGTGCCATCATCATATTTGAAGACCGGCCTCGTCCCCGCTCCTCGTGGATGAGGACCGTTGATTATTTCAGATCTGCCCCCAGCGCCGACATCATTTCATGGCCACCGACCCCCTGGTACGGTGCCATCATCATATTTGAAGACTGGCCTCGTCCCCGTTCCTTGCGGATGAGGACCGTTGATTATTTCAGATCGGCTCACAGCGCCGACATCATTATATGGCCACCGACCCCCTGGTACGGTGCCATCATCATATTTGAAGATCGACCTCGTCCCCGCTCCTCGCGGATGAGGACCGTTGTTTGATTATTCCAGACCGGCTCCCAGCGCCGATATCATTACATGGCCACCGACCCCCTATACGGTGCCATCATCATATCTGAAGACCAGCCTCGTCCCCGCTCCTCGCGGATGAGGACCGTTGATTATTTCAGATCAGCCCCCAGTGCCGACATCATTTCATGGCCACCGACCCCCTGGTACGGTGCCATCATCATATTTGAAGACCGGCCTCGTCCGCGCTCCTCGCGGATGAGGACCGTTGATTATTTCAGATCAGCCCCAGTGCGGACATCGTTTCATGGCCACCGACCCCCTGGTACAGTGCCATTATCATAGTTGAACACTGGTCTCGTCCCCGCTTCTTGCGGATGAGGACCGTTGATTGATTATTTGAGATCGGCCCTGAGTGCCGACATCGTTTCATGGCCACCGACCCCCTAGTACGGTGCCATTATCATAGTTGAAGACCGGCCTCGTCCCCGCTCCTTGCGGATGAGGGCCGTTGATTGATTATTTTAGGTCGACCCCAGTGCCGACATCTTCACATGGCCACCGACCTCCGGGTACGATGCCATCACCATATTCAAAGACCCCTCAAAAAAAGGAAAGAAAATATAAATACAAATTCAGAGGGGCACTGGGGAATCCCCAAAGGGGATTAACCCGTTCTTCATCACAATCGCGGCCGAGCCCAGCTCAGGATCCAAAGGACCGGGCCAAATGGGCAGGTAAGCGAACGGATGAAGGAAAGAAGAAACGGGGAATCTCCAAAGGAGATAAACCCGTTCCGCATCACAATCGTGGCCGAGCCCAGCCCAGAATCCAAAGGACCGGGCCAAATGGGCAGGTAAGACGAGCGGATGATGGATCAAAGTTAAGACTCCTCAAAAAAAAATTAGGGGAGCAACGGGGAATCTCCAAAGGAGATAAACCCGTTCCGCATCACAATCGCGGTCGAGCCCAGGATCCAAAGGACCGGGCCAAATGGGCAGGTAAGACGAGCGGATGACGGAACGAAGTTAAAGACCTCTCAAAAAAATAAAAAAAAATCAGAGGGGCACTAGGGAATCCCCAAAGGGGATAAACCCGTTCCTCATCACAATCGCGGCCGAGCCCAGCTCAGGATCCAAAGGACCGGCCAAATGGGCAGGTAAGCGAACGGATGAAGGAACGAAGAAATGGGGAATCTCAAAAGGAGATAAACCCGTTCTGCATCACAATCACGGCCGAGCCCAGCCCAGGATCCAAATGACCGGGCCAAATGGGCAGGTAAGACGAGCGAATGATGGAACGAAGAAACGGGGAATCTCCAAAGGAGATAAACCCGTTCCGCATCACAATCGCGGCCGAGCCCAGCCCAGGATCCAAAGGACCGGGCCAAATGGGCAGATAAGATGAGCGGATGACGGAACGAAGTTAAAGACCTCTCAAAAAAAAAACTCAGAGGGGCACTGGGGAATCCCCAAAGGGATAAACTCGTTTCCCATCACAATCGCGGCTGAGCCCAGCTCAGGATCCAAAAGGACCGAGCCAAATGGGCAAGTAAGACGAGCGGATGGTGAAACGAAAAAACAAAAGAATTCCCAAAGGGATCAAAACCGTTCCACGCAAAGTACGAGGACTTAGCTCAGCCCAGGATCCAAGGACCGGGCTAAAGGGCAAATACGCAGAGCAGATGAGGACCACTCCAGAGGCCGAGGGCCTGGAGACGAGCATTTCCACTCTAGAGGCCGAGGGCCTGGAGACGAGCATTTCCATTCCAGAGGACCCAAGGGCCTGGAGACGAGCATTTCCATTCTGGAGGACCCGAGGGCCTGGAGACGAGCATTTCCACTCCAGAGGTCGAGGGCCTGGAGACGAGCATTTCCATTCCAGAGGACCCGAGGGCCTGGAGACGAGCATTTCCACTCCAGAGGCCGAGGGCCTCGAGACGAGCATTTCCATTCCAGAGGACCCGAGGGCCTGGAGACGAGCATTTCCACTCCAGAGGCCGAGGGCCTGGAGACGAGCATCCCCACCCTTGAAGACCCAAAGAGAGAGAGAGAATGAGCTAGGTACAACGAGCAGATGAGGACGACCATCTTTTGCAGCACAATCGGCCCCTCAGCGTCGACGTGTCTAGCTCACGGTTCGGCTCGCCCATCCCCTCCAGGATGGCGATGACCGTCTTATGCAGCACGATCGGCCCCTCAGCGTCGACGTGTCTAGCTCACGGTTCGGCTCACCCATCCCCTCCAGGATGGCGATGACCATCTTATGCAGTAGGATCGGCCCCTCAGCGCCATCGAATCCAGTTCACGGTCGGCTCACCCATTCCTTCCACGATGGGGACCACCGTCTTAAGCAGTACGATCGGCCCCTCAGCGCCATCATATCCAGTTCACGGTTGGCTAACCCATTCCTTCCAGGATGGGGACCACCATCTTATGCAACACGATCAGCTCCTCAGCGCCATCGTGTCCAGTTCACGGTCGGCTCACCTATTCCTTCCAGGATGGTGACCACCATCTTATGCAGCACGATCGGCTCCTCAGCGCCATCGTGTCCTGTTCACGGTCGGCTCACCCATTCCTTCCACGATGGGGACCACCGTCTTAAGCAGTACGATCGACCCCTCAACGCCATTGTATCCAGTTCACGGTTGGCTCACCTATTCCTTGCAGGATGCGGACCACCGTTTATGCAGCACGATCGGCTCCTCAGCGCCATCGTGTCCAGTTCACGATCGGTTCACCCATTCCTTCCAGGATGGTGACCACCGTCTTTTGCAGCACGATCGGCTCCTCAGCGCTATCGTGTCCAGTTCACGGTCGGCTTACCCATTCCTTCCAGGATGGGGACCACCGTCTTATGCAATACGATCGGCCCCTAAGCGTCGTCGTACCCATTCATGGTCGGGCTCGTCCATACCTTCCTGGGTGACGACCACCATCTTATGCAGCACGATCGGCCCCTCAGCGCCATTGTGTCTAGTTCATGTTTAGCTCATCGATACCATCCAGGGGGATGACGAACGTCTTATGCAGCACGAACGGCCCCTCCACGCCATTCGTAGGGGTGAGCATCGGGCAGGTTCGGGTCGGGCGGGTGGGTGAACCCAATACCCTTTCGGGTTTCGGATGTGTAATATGGATATCCTACCCTATGTTTTTTGACTTAGATATTTTCGGGTTTTTTTTTTGTATTTCGGGTAGGGCGGGTTCGGATCGGGTATCGGGTTTAGTCGGTTTCAAGTTTCAACTAAAATAATTTGAAATTGCAAAATAATTTGTAATTTCAACACTTGTAAATCTAAAATATTACAATTGCAAAACATAATTTGATTCCCATACATAATGTGAATATTACAAAGTAAAGAGTAGGAGGGGTCAAAATTGTAACAAAGAGTTTTAGCATATTACAAAATACAGATTACTGAATTACACAATTCATTAATCATTAACATTCAAAGTTCCAACTAGTCAAGTACGCAAAAATGCAAAAATGCTTGAAGACTTTGATGTTCCACAACTATCTTTCACATTCGTGTCCGGTTCTTGTTCGACGTAAGACCACACCATGGCAAAGTAAGACCATATCTCGGCAAAGTAAGACCATACCGTGGCAACGAACGTCTTATGCAGCACGCTTGGCCCCTCAGCACCGTCGTGCCCGGTTTACCGATGACATTCACCGCTTTGTATCACATCTTACATGCCCTCTCTCATACATGGCACTCATACATCACATGCATTCATACATTCATGCCTCATCTCCCATACATCCATACATACATGTACATCATATCGAGCCAGCTCCGCGTCGTCAGCTTATATTGTGCAGGGACCTCTAAGCTTCTCCATTCGAAAGCTCGAGTCAAAGTCCTCTACTCCCGCCTGATACATTCAGGGGGAGAGTGTCCGGGGAAGAGCATCCCTTGCCCGACCCCGTCGGGAGGGGAGTGCCTTACCGGCATGTTATATTCGGGGGGGGGGGGGGGGGGGGGGGGTCAGACACCCACTCATATATTATGATTACTCGAAGACACAATTCCAGCAAGACAGATGAAGAGCACATGCAAGAGTATATTTTCTCGAGCAGATTCGCACGCTCACTATTCAAGAAACTGGGAGACTTGTGTTGGGATATATCATCCTGGTCTATTACTGTTCAGGGGTCCAAGACTTTACGTAGTACGGAACCCTATCAGTAAGGCCCATTTTAGATTGTCAGGCCTATTTCGACCTCTGGGCCCATTTCTGCCCATTCGACCCGCCTAGGCCCAAGAGGCCGTTTAGGCCCACTCGGCCCGTTAGGGTGGAGAGCTCCCCTTCCCCCTTTCATCTATAAATAGGTGGACTTCCCTCCTAATAACGGATCCCTCTTTTGATCCTCTCTTTCTTCCCCGTTCTCCCTAGCTAGCTTTATACTCCATCAATGGAGCTTCAATATTGTATTATGTAATGGTGAGGAGAGTATTAATAAAAGGAGAGGGCTTGAAGATTAGCCTAAACAGTCCTGTGGTTTTCTCCCTTTCGGGTTTCCACGTAAAAACAGAGTGTTCGTATCAAATTATATATATATTTATTATATCGTGTAGGATTAAACTCAACACTATCATATGTTGAACATCTTTTTCATTTAGAATGCCATTTAGAGTTTGTTTAGTAACACATAAAATGGATGAATCTATTGAAATTGGAGAAATTCTTGTTGAAATCGCTGAAGTGGCTGAATATACATTTGTCTGAAAAAGTAGCTAAAATTTTCGTTTATAATAACTTCATTCAATTCTGGCAAAAAAATTAACTTCAACTTTTGTTATTTTGATCATTACACAATTAAGCTCTCGATTTCAAATTTAACTGATAAGATTGATAAATTCAAAAATAGGGTCACCAAACAACACATAATTTTAAATGAAAAATGAGCATATAAGCATTTTTGTTTGTATTATATAAGGGCTGGTTTTTTTTATTATAGTCACTAAATGTCAGTAAATCATATTTTTATCCATTATCCCTTTTTATTGAAAATCTATTTTTATTCAAACTGTTATAACCTTTTCAGTTAAACTCTAACTTTAACAAAATATATTGAAATTCATAATTCTTGTGACGTTTCTTATGACAGTAATATTGCATTTTTTTGAAAATATTTATCAAACAACTTCCTATTTTTCAACAACGATATCAATCATCTCTTATTAAGTAAAAAATTAATCTATAGCTATGATATAATCTCAATTGTTAGACTTATCTTATACCTAAAGGCACTATATTGTTGGTGCAGGAATTTGACAACATGGAAAGCTTGACCGGTGCAATTAATGACGTATTTATTAGAATTAATGCTAGATGATTAGTTCTAGCGGTTTCATGTATATTATGAGAGTTATTGTTGTAATTATGGCGTAGGTTACTGAAATGGCTGACCAGAATTTATGACGACGTAATGACGATTGCGCTCTCAAGTGCAATCGGTGGCGCTCATAGCTTCCAACTCAAGATTTAGCCGAAGAGGTGACGCCATGACAGCAGCAACAAGGCTGGAATTTGACCCCATTCTAGTCTCGACCGAACCTTTTATCCATCATTCAGGAGCCGGCACATCTGGAGATCCGGGGTCCTCAAACCGATTTGTTCCTCTCCAGAATCCCAGCAGTAACATGTTTCACAGTCTATTTCCGGAACCTCAGAGACGACGAGTTCCAGACCATGTCGACATCCGTCTACATGTCGACAACAACAACTAGAGACAACAAGAGCCTGAAGTCATCGTCATACCCTCACCAACCAGGCATGATGTGACCCGAGTGAAGACGCCACCAATCTCGACGACAAGACAGATGTAAGCATATCCGACAGACCCCTTATCCGTCATCATGGAAGAGCTGAGGGAAATGCGAGAGAAGATCAATGGTATACCCGGAGTGCCACCTCCATTGGACGTCGCTTCACAGACATGCTACGCAGATTCCCCTTTCGGACGACACATCACAGACGTTGAGATTCCAAGGAAGTTTGCTGCCTCCTCGATGAGATTATTCGATGGAACTACCGACCCCCTGGAACACGTCGCTCAATACAAGCAGCAGATGCTTGCCACCTCGGTCAGACCAGAGCAGCGGGAGGCTTGTATGTGCAGGGCATTTGGGACAACATTGACATGGCCAGTGCTAACGTGGTTCGTCAATCTGCCGAATGAAGGCGTCAGCTCATTTGCGGAGTTAGTCAACCTCTTCAACCAGCAATTTGCAAGCAGTCGTGTTCTGGAGAAGCAGACCAGCGATATCTACCGTGTGGTCCAGAAACGCAACGAATCCTTAAGGGATTACCTCCATCGCTTCAACAAAGAGAAGGTGCCAATCCCCCGTTGTGACATACCAACTGTCATCGAGGCATTCAGAAGAGGTTTGTATGAAGATTCAGAGCTGTACCACGAACGGACGAAATACCCTTGTCGGTCCTTCAAAGATGTCCAAACATAGACGTTAGCTTTCATCCGTCTAGAAGAAGACTTATGATCCCGTCAAAGACAAATTGAGCATGAACAGGGGCATGGGAAATCAGAATCTCCCGGGAGGCATGATTGCAAGCATGGAAACCCATATTCGAGACCTGAGAAACAAGTCGTCACGAGATAGACCAGACAACATGATCGGAGTCGTCAGACGGGGGGCATGTCGTCCGATTCTAGACGGGTTCTGAAAAGCTGCAATACGGTACCCTTAAAAGTTGTTTCATTTTTAGTTTATTATTTTCTTTTATAGTTGTCATTCCTATGACGAGATAGATCAGACGACATGATCAAAATCGTCGGACGAGGGGCATGTCATCCAAAGACAGACAGGTTCTGAAGAGCTGCAATACGGTACCCTTAAAGTTGTTTCATTTTTAGTTTGGTATTTTCTTTTACATATTGTTGTCACTCCTGTGATGGGATAAACCAAACGACGTGATTGAAATCGTTTGAGACGGGGGCATGTCGTCCGATGATTGAAATCGTCTGACTTCAGACAAGTCTTGATGATAAGTATTTGTCTAGTTTTGTATACATACTTTTAATTTATTACTTTTGTTTACATATAAATATTCACTAACTTAAGCATCGGAGGGCCGTTGGCCAAAAGCCAACGGCCAGACTCTGACAACATGACTTCATGCAAGATAATGACGCAACAAGCACATTGACGAATGTTACTATGCATTCTTAACGTGCCAACAGAAGGCACCTATACATAACTTTTGACAACATAAAAGGGGGTAGTAAGGTTAGTATGGGCCATTCATATAAAAAGTATGAAAGACAAGCCCATGCGCCTTACACGTTTTGGCCAAAACTATAGAAATACACAACAGAAGCATGTGCTCCAAAAGCATGACAACAGAAGCTCCAAAACATAAGGAGACAATACAGACGAGATTGACACAAATCACAAAAACTCATGTCGACAATATTGCTAAAAACACAAATGAAACATTATTCATAGTTTTCGCAGGATGTGGACCACGTTCACGCAACCCAACTCGTCTTCTTCAACAACAAATGATGTTCCCTTTTCTAGTTTAAGTGTCGACATTTACAGGAAAGACGTTGCGAACTTCTGCCACCTAGTCGTCAGCACAATTTCGGAGGGGGAGAAGACAAAGTGCCAGCCTTCAGTCTTCGTTGTTTTAGTCAATGAGACGGATTCCATAGGAAGTCACTCGAAAGAAAGATGGCAACCTTTCGTTAGACGAGTTGATCGATACGTCACATGAAGTCAGTGATGGGCCAATAGATGTAATGAACCAAGATGTGAAGTGTACTTTTGAATTTTCGACAAGTTGATGTTAATAGGTCGACAAGTCCATGACACGCCTCAACTTCTCAAAAAGGGACAATTGTTGGTGCAGCAATTTGACAACATGGAAAGCTTGACCGGGGCAATTAATGACGTATTTATTAGAATTAATGCTAGATGATTAGTTCTAGCGGTTTCATGTATATTATGAGAGTTATTGTTGTAATTATGGCGTAGGTTACTCAAATGGCTGACCAGAATTTATGACGACGTAATGACGATTTTGATGTCGTTGTTACGGTCGAAACCGTCAACAACGGATAAAAAGGCATTAAATATCTCTCTTATAAATAGACCCAAGCTCTATGTAATCAGAGGGACCTTCATTCGAATTACACATCAATATACCTTCTATTTTGCTTACTTGACACCCTTCTTGTTGTTCTTGTCATTTTCCTTACCGTTCTTGTACGAAACCCAATCAATATATAATTTCTATTATAATTAGTTTTAGTTTATCAAAATTTTGCTAAAACATATATATATAATATCAAAAAAATCTCGCTTTGTAGTTAGTCACCTTATGACCTAATCTCTTATACATAAAATCTTATACCTAAAAGATTACAAATGAGAGAGAAAATTCTCCACTCATTGTTAACCGGCTTACCTTATTATACCTAAAAGCACTACATATGAGAGAGAAAATTTTCCCGCTCAATAATTAGCCGGTTTGTCTTATACCTAAAAGGACTATATATGATAGAGAAAAATTTTATTCTCAATTGTTAGCTAAACTATCTTATACTTAAAAGCACTGCTTATGAGAGAGAAATCTTTCACTCAATTGTTAGACAACTTATGGCTTAATCTTTTTCATATTTAAAATCTTATTCGTTAAAGCAATGCATATGAGAGAAAAATTCTTCCGCTCAATTGTTAACCGGTTTATCTTACCTTATATTAAAAAGCAAGAGAGAAAGCTCTCTTGTTCAATTGTTAGCAAGCTTATCTCCTTAGCTTCCTATAACTAAAAGCAATACAAATTAATGACAGAAAATATTATCATACTCAATTGTTAGCCAACTTATCTAAATCTTAAACTTAAAGAACCTACATGTGAGAGAGAAAATTATTCCACTCAAATCTCAAATTATTCCTAAAATGATTTTTTTAGTACACATCATTGACACATCACATTTATTCAATAAATTTTAAATAATCTCAAAGTTTAAATAAAACTCTTCATCAACAATAATACTCAAATAATCGGTTTTTTCTGGACATGCATTAAATGTAATTTAACTATAATCTAAAATAATCCGGGATTGGAATCTTGATACCGGATTTTCTTTTTCAATAATCTCACTAAATAATCTCTCACTCACAATGATAATCTTTAAAATAATCTTACACATCATAAAATTGATCTTCAAATAAACTCATGGATGAGGATGTCCTAATACCTAAATCACTAAATATGAGAGAGAAAATTCTTCCTCTCAACTATTAACAAACTTATCTTTTACTTGAAATTAAAGAACTACAAATGAGAGAGAAAATTTTCCCACTGAATTGTTAGGTGGTTTATCTTCTTATACCTAAAAGCACGATATATGATAGAAAACATTGTCTCACTCAATCGTTAACCGCCTTATGAAATAATCTTCTTATATTTAAAATCTTATACCTAAAAGTACTACATATGAGACATAAAATTTTTCCACTCATTTTTAACCGGCTTATCTTACCTCTAAAATCGTTACATAATTTGAGAAAAAAATTGGCCGCTCAATTGTAAGGCAGTTTATCTCATCTTGTCTTATACTTAAAAACACTAAATATAAGAGAGAAAAATATTCTGCTCAATTGTTAGTTGGTTTATCTTATACTCCCTCCGTCCCATTAGAAGGTTCCCATTTTCCTTTTTTGGACGTCCCATATATATAAAGGTTCTCATTTCCATTTTAGGAAACAATTAACAATCTTAAATGACAAATTAATCATTAAATATTAAAAATAATAAATTTATAACATCGCAGTTATCAATACTAAATACATTATAATATATACATATTAAAAATATTTCTCAAAATGTACTCGAACTACTTTATTTTATTATTATCTAAATAACCGTGCCGTTTTGCTATTAGAACCTTCCAACGGGACGGAGTTAGTACCTAATAGCACTATATATGAGAGAAAATTCTCCCACACCTTCCAAAAATGTGTAATGATTCACTCATTAATAAATTTTTTCCTCGTCTTCCACATCTTCATTCCTTAATTACATAATTGTGATTATGTAAATTCAGTTTTTCAATTTTGAAAACAATTATGTTCATATTTTTTTAGAAACTTTTTCCTTATTTAATACAGAATAATTCGTATTTACGTTATAAAATTAGAAGGTTGTTTAATAAATGTTCAGATTTTTTTTAATTTTATATATGCAATATTGATGTCATATGAAAGATCGTAAAAAATTATGAAATTTGATATGATTTTTGTAAAAATTGGATTGAAAATGAAAAAGATATAACACTTTAAAGAAAAAAGAAATTTTTCGTATCATGGGACCCACTAAATCAATACTCAGCCGTTGGAATTGAAATTTGAAGAGAAAAGAATTATATGTTGTCATTTGTCATTTTTAGAGCATCTCCAATGCTACAATGTGCACGGTGCACATGTGGCACGAGAGAGATAGACACAAAAGATTGATTTTATGACATTTCTCTCTCCGTCTTTCCACGGTCTTATGTGTTTTTGGTAAGTTTTTCCCTGCAATGTCAACCATAATGTCTACGTCTAGACATTGTGTTTGACATTGTGAAGAAAAACTTACCAAAATGATATAAGATCTTTCAAATTAAATAAGGAGAGAGATAATCTATTTATTGATTTTTCATTGGCTATCTCTTATGCCACGTATGCACCTTAACGTTTTAGCATTGGAGAGCTCTTATAGCAAATGAGCAAATTATGGAGAGATAGACACATAAGATTAATGAAGAGTGAAATAGTCTTTTACGGTACTTTACCTCCGTCCCGCTATGATTGTCCCGTTTTACCTTATCGGTCCGTCCCACTAAGATTGTCACATACCAAATTTGGGAAACTTTGTGTGACTCTAAATCATTCTTACTTTATTCATACTTTATCAATTCAATATAAACCACATAAATCACTTTTTATTGATTTGCATGTCGCTACCCGGTGGGATGTTTTGCTTAATTTTTTTTTGTATGTTACACATCAAGTCTAGTTAATCCATATCAAATTTCAGAACCAATCTCAATAGGGAATGCAGTCAAATGATTTTTTAAAGATAATTGCGATTTATATGTATAATCTGACGTAGTTATCTTTCAAAAATCATTTGACGGCCTTTCAGATTGAATGTTTTGCTCAAATTTGGTATGACTGAACTAGACTTTATTAAGAACATACACAAAAAAAATCATTAAAACATACCACCAGGAACCACCTCAAATTGTGGTGGCCGGACCACCCTTTTGTCATGACGTCCTGACTGGAACCCCACGAGGACAACACCATAAGAGAGTGTTTCCGGTGGAATTTTTTGATGAAATTTTTTGAGCATGTTCCTCATCAAGTCTAGTTTATGCATACCAAATTTCAGCACAAAATTCAATGGCGAAGGCAGTTAAACAAATTCTTGAAACATACTGCGTTTTATATATGTACAAAATGAGACGTAAGAGAAGAGCCGCCACTTGAAATGGCGGCTTTTGTACTATAAGAGAAGAGACGCCACTCGGAGTGACGGCTTTTGTGAAGTAATACAAGAACCCACTTAGAGTGGCGCCTTTCCTTAATCGTGGATAATTCCAGCAGTATTTTGGGAATTATTCTTAACTCGGCAGTATTTCGGAAATAATTTATTTAATTACCATTATTCCGGGAAAAAACTCAAATATGATATAATCACTTGATCGAATCTGAAAGGAGTATTCCAAATCTAAATTAACTTAATTACAGATCCAAATTGCACCGACTCTTGTGATCCGTACGTTGAGGAAAAATCGCAGATCAAATATTAATCCGGCATAGGATGCCTAGAAACCGCAGTATATATCATATACCTTGCTACCTCATCTTCCTTCTTCGCCCACCAAGAGATACAATCGAAGAAAGCCGCAGAGATGCCTCAGCTCCTTCTGTTAGAGGTAATATTTCTTTGGGGTGCGGCCACAGTCTAGTATAGCGCCGAATTGTATCAAACCCAAATCACTATTGATTGATAGATCAGGACGATAACAAATCCTAGTATCTAAATTATTCCCACACCGGAAGCATGAGAAGTCTTGAATTATGTTATCATTCCGTTTTCTGTTTGTTGCATTGTGTTGTTTGTATTCTTGAGTTCAAATGTCTCTCTAGTATCCCATTTGCTTATCGGAAATTACATAATGTTTAAATCAATTATTCAAACATTGTGCTTTTCGATGAGCTTTGGGATACTAGCGGCACATTCTTTGAATTTAACTTTCCGTGCCACATTTTTTGTAATTATATCTTTACTTCCTTCGTTCCGATATAATTGTTACATTTTTCATTTTATGTCCGTTCTACTAAATTTGTGTCGTACCATATTTGGTAATACTTGTGTGATTCTAACACATTCTCACTTTATCAATTCATTATCAACCACATAACTCTATTTTTCTTAAAAACGTCATCACTCCCTCTTGTCTCAATTTAGAGGGGCGAAGGTAGTAGTATTTACCCAATTGATATCATTTGTGTATCATTTTGCTTAAAGAAATTGTCATATATATGACTAAAATGTGGTCAAAATGCCACAATTGAAGTGTATGTTTTATTCCCATTTTAAGACCGGTGATGCTTGGTGTATACATATCTTGTAGTGTACATACACCCCTCTTAGTTATCTGTCTACAAGGCAGGTTTTGAACGAATTGGTTGTCTAGACAGACAACTAAGGGGTGTACATAAAATGTCTACAAAATATGCCTACCAACAAACGTCCCCACGTCTTGAAAATATAATACATGACCATGTTGTTAAAATAATTTTTTATATAATGTTTGGGGTATTTAAATTACATATGCAAGTAAATAAACATTTGTCTGAAAATATAATACATGACCATGGGTATATTAAATTTAAACATATTTTATTGATAAAGTAAATAAACATTTGTCTGAAAAAGTAGCTAAAATTTTCGTTTATAATAACTTCATTCAATTCAGGCAAAAAATTAACTTCAACTTTTGCTATTTCGATCATTACACAATTAGGCTCTCGATTTCAAAATTGACTGATAAGATTGATAAATTCAAAAATAGGGTCACCAAACAACACATAATTTTAAATGAAAAATGAGCATATAAGCATTTTTGTTTGTATTATATAAGAGCTGAGTTTTTTTATTATAGTCACTAAATGTCAATAAATCATATTTTTATCCATTATCCTTTTTTTTTGAA